GGTTTCTGGGAGACATCATAGAAACGGAAAAGTGTTTAAAAGAAACCATTTTAGGTAAAATCCATCCAATTTTTGTTTAAAATGTAAAAAGAGAACATTTTTGATTGAAGTGATTAGAATTTAACTCTGTTGAAAAAAGCTGACTTAATATTTAGAGATTTTTCTATAAAACTTGAAGATAAAATTATCCGATAGAACACAAAAACTGATTCAATAATTGCTGGCGGTAGTAACAATACATAAGTTTTGACCTCAATATAACTTGGAATACATGGATAAACGGATGAATAAATGGATATATAGGACGGACGAAAATATTGATGAATAAATAAATAAATAAATATCTAGGAAGGATGATTAAATGGATATATAGGATGGATGAGTATCTAGAAGGATGAATAAATGAATGAATATCTAGGACGGATGAGAGTCTGGATGAATAAATAATTAAATGAATTTCTATGATGGTTAGGAAGGATGAATAAATGAATGAATATCTAGGACGGATGAGTACCTGGATGAGCACATAATTAAATGAATATCTAGGACGGATGAGTATCTGGATGAATACATAATTGAATGAATATTTAGGACGTATGAGTATCTGATGAATAATAAAATGAATATCTAGGATGGATGAATACATAATTAAATGAATATTTAGGACGAATGAGTATCTGGATGAATACATAATCAAATGAATATTTAGGACGGATGAGTATATGGATGAATACATAATTAAATGAATATCTAGGACGGATGAGTAGGTGGAAAGATGAATAAATGAATGAATATCTAGGATGGATGAGTATGTGGAGGAATACATAATTAAATGAATATCTAGGATGTATGAGTATCTGAAAGAATACATAATTAAATGAATATCTAGGACGGATGAGTATCTGGATGAATACATAATGAAATGAATATCTATTATCTAGGACGGATTAGTATCTGAATGAAAACATAATTAAATGAACATCTAAGACGGATGACTATCTGGATAAATACATAATTAAATGAATATCTAGGACGGATGAGTATCTGGATGAATACATAATTAAATGAATATTTAGGACGGATGAGTATCTGGATGAATACATAATTAAATGAATATCTAGGACGGATGAGTATCTGGATGAATACATAATTAAATGAATATTTAGGACGGATAAGTATCTGGATGAATACATAATTAAATGAATATCTAGGACGGATGATTATCTGGATGAGTACATAATTAAATGAATATCTAGGACGGATGAGTATCTGGATGAGGATAAAGAGTTCTATATTGTTGTACGAGGTGGAATATACAGGGTGGATCTAAACCAGTGGAAATGTAACTCTATATACTGGCCTAGTACAGGTATACAGACTACAGGGTGTTGGAACAAATTTCTTCACCGTCGTTGGTGAAGAAATTTTCGAATCGTTTTGGGGGAATTTAAAAAAATTTAATGACGATCGAATTTTGATGGAGACAAATATTTGAAATTTTGATGATTCATAAACCTTCCCTGGAGTCCCTAGATGTCCCACAAAAAATTTGGGCCCGATCGATTCAGCCTTTTTGACGTTTATTGGATACAAACAAACAAACAAACACCCAAATAGACAAACAGACAAGCCAAATTTATATATAGATTATCATTTCTCAATTAAAGTTTTATATATGCACACTTGCAGATATTTCCGGAGTTGCCCGTGTCTGTGTTCGTTTGAGTTTCATTTAGTTTTATTTTACAAGGCAGAAAACGACCACTTACATTTTATACACAATTTATGTTTGCTACGATTAATGATTTAAAATGTGTCCTTTTGAAATGCTGGCCATCATTGTCAAATTAATGCTTTTAGCAAATTCTGGTTTCTAAATCATATTATTTGAAATATCCAATTCAACTATTGTCAAGCCATGACAAGCCAAGGAAGATAGCTAGGCAGATAGCTAGGTTACATTTAGGATTTCCAGCAAACGAAAACGATGCGGGATTTCATGAAAAAAAGAAAATATGCCAAAATTTCACGAAAAAATGCGAAATTTCTAGAAAAAAATAATTTTTTATATTTTTTGCCAAATTTTTACATTTTTTCTTTCGCGAAACAAATTAACGCTAAAAAAGCAAAAATTTTCGCTTTTTTACGAACGGAATAATATTTTTGCAAAACAATTTTCCCATTTCACTGAAACCATAGTTACATTATTCTGATTTATGTTTACTGAATATATACTGGATTGTAATGAAACCATGTTCTACTAAACGTATGGAGTAAATCTGAGTTGATTAAAATTGGAACGTCGATAAACAAGGTTTTAAAGGATTTAACATTATAAAGGTAGGAAGTGATTTCTTTATGTGCAGGGATAATTGTGTAACCTAAAAAATGTTTAATTTTTTCAACTACGAGACTACACCGCACAATTCTGTTAAATTGATTTTGTACAATTTTGAATTAATCATTCATGAAAAACTCAAAAGTCACATGTTTAAAAGAATACATTTGATATTTGATATTTTTCATAATTTAAAAATTTCAGTCTGAGGCTGTTTATAAATTTTATAAAACTATTGTGTACTTTATCATTCTTCCTCACGTCATGGTGAATTTCATAATGAACGTGCTATATTGTATTCATCGTGCTATACAATTAAATTAGCTGTACATTATAGCACGTGTGCTATTAAGTTTTGATTGGTTCCCGGATTTTCTCCAAAAAATTTAGGATATTTCCAAAATATTTTTTTCAATTAAATGAAAAATAAAATTGAAATCAACTTTATATTGACTTCTGCTTTGTTTCAAAGCTTATTTGATCTAGAAAAAGACATTGAAATAAGATAAGTACAAAAACGTTTCATAAAATTAGCTATAACACTATTTTATATTTTTCAAAAAATTGTATAACACTGCGAACCAAAATAACAGTGTTATAAATAGCTAAATTTTTGGTGTATTTTCATTAAATAAAATGAAGTTATTTTTAAAATCAAAAAGAACAGAAAAATAAAAATCAATTTTGCAGAGAAACCACAATGAGAAATGATAATTTTTCGAAAAATAATGGATATCTCATTTGAACTTGATTTAACAAAGTTTTTAAGGGTACCGTTGTGAATCAGGCATTACCACTTTGCATAGACCCTTGCTTATACCCGACAGAAAATGTTTCCTTTCAGAATAAAATCTGGAAAATAAAATGAAAATGTTTTATAAATGATACGTCAAATTTAACCGGATTTGTATTCTGCGTAGGAAAAGTTTGGTCTAAGAAGAGAATATATTCAACCTGTAGCAGACTAGCAGCAGCAAATATTCCACTATTCCACACACATTTCAAATTTTAAGTGTATTGATTAGGCACTCTGGGCTGGAATTGAACTCGAACAGATGGCAGTTTGTACTAACCCGCCACCATAGAGAAAGGAAACGATGAGGAAAAGCCTACCTAATGTTGTTAACACAAATTCGAAATATAAGGAAGACGATGTTACCGACTAAAATGCCGTAGTCTATTCTCCAGACGTGTTTATCTATTTCCTCCATGAAGCACCCACATGTCAAACCCCGCTCATTCGTTCCCCCCTCACCCCTCTACACATCCCAGCCCTCAGTCAGGTTAGGAGAGTTGAGCTAGTAACAGCTCCGACACAGGGAGCCTCTTGACTCCTTTATGATGATGACGGAGATACTCAGCTAGTAGCAGACGTGCTTACCCGAAGGGTTCCCAGTTTATCATGCATTCCAGAGACAACATAATCGCTCAATCGCATCATGATAAATTCGCAGATGCCTTCTAGGTTGGATAAGCCCTGTTGTTCCAGTTCCTGTTTATCTGCTCCACCAACATGAAGCTCTACATCACTCCCATGAATTACCCTCAAATATTCATCATTAATTCCTTTGTTAATTTCTAAACCAACCAATTTTAACCCATTCTTGGGCAAATATTTCAAAACTTTCGTTTTTATTAAATAAATGTTAGAAATATCCATTTGGATCTCTTTTATTTTATTATAGTGACTTTTAAAGTCAACAAATGTGTTTATCTAATTATCTATACAAAATACAAATATTCAATTATCTACATTTAACAACCCCCAATAAATACAATCACTCTATGTACAAGTGTGCAGTGTTAGATACGTAAACATATCGTGATGTACACAACCGACCATCCTATTAATCAATTAATTAATAGGGTGGTCGGTTTTGTACATCTGAAGTAAGCTTTACCTCTCGTTTCCTTTCTCTATGCCCGCCACTTTATCCTATTTGAGCAACCCAACTGGCATAGTCCACCGTGCAGGTTGAATCTTTCATATCTGTTTGCTAGATGTTCCTAGTTTGAATCTTTTGTCATACACTTAATTTTGCAGGGGGTGGGGGGCAGCTTTTACGTTGCCCCCCTGAGTTACGGTCCTGGGCTTGCCCATTTGGCTAAATTAAATTTTTAGCTAATAACTGAACTTTCAGTTCTTTTAACGAATTAAAACTGAATGGTTCTCTCTCTGTCAGTGCACAAAATAATTCCTTCATTTTTCACAAACTTTGTTCGTTAACTCTGCTCAGCTGACAGCAACATAAGTAACTTCAGGATAACACTTTAATGCTTTTAATGAAATCTTTTTAAAAAACGACCCATCAAAGGAGCAAGTTCAGTCTTGAATCTTATTAAATCTAACAATTGCTAACTGATGATTTGGCAAAAACTATAAATTTATAAATAAGATCTTTAACATTATCTTAATTCTCATCCTTTTTGGGAAACCAAAAAAACATGCAAAAACTGGAAAAGAAAGGCCTTTTTCTTGATATTATAAGTAAATGCAGTTGCGGTGTTTATTCTGCAGAACTGTATCAGAATTCTTATAAAATGCATTTAGTATTGCAAAAAGATTGCATTACAGGCTAGAGAGGAGAGGATGAGAGTACACACATGGCAATTTTTTTCTTATTTGCCTAGCTTTGGATTACCATACAAACATCCTCTATAAATATATATTAATATATATTGTAGTAATCTCTCTAATTGGGTGTTTCTTTGTCTGGACCGATTTGCCTCAAATTTAAGTTGTGTAAGTGGATTTTTATAGCAAAAACTCCATGTAAAGCTGGGTTTCCAAACTATTACAAAATAATACCAGAGAGCTCGCAGCAATAAAGCCATGCAGCCATACACACATACACACACTTTTATGTACACACATTCATACACCCCTACATAAATATATGCATACATACACCCTAACTCCCCTAACATATGAATATAATTAGAGCCATGAACCGCTTATCTCAATTAAAGAGTGCCATAGTTAATTCACTTTGAGACTTAATTTCTACAACAGCAACGAGCAAAACTATGGCCGAAATACCGAAAAGTAAAAATGACTTCTGACAAATGTAACAATTTTTTGGATTGAACATGTACTTTTTTTCTGCATAAAATGTGATTTTATGAAAAATTAATGGACTTTTTAAAAGAAAGACCACTTTATGTTATGTTGACAGTCCATGTAACAATGAAGAACAAATATAATTTATGAAAGGAATCCTTCCAGTAAGATATTGTATTCTCAAACTGAAATAAAGTCTGGATAAACAAGATAAACTATGATAATATTTTCTTAAACAATGTTACACAAATATTTATTTTTAGTCAAATATAAATTTCTTTTTCTCACAAGATTTATTAAATTCGTGGTTTTACTTGATTAAATAAATTTATGGAAAATTTGAATAAAATTGTTTAAAGTCTTTTTAGAGTGATCTTAGTTTGATTTGATAGGTTTTACATATTTCTACAGTCTTTATTCTACATAGATAAACCAATTCTTTTATAAAGATAGATTTTGCCTCAAAATAATTTTTATATATTTTAAATTCTAAAATGTAAACAAGAAAATCTGCAAACTTTTTTTCCAATAAGCAACAGAAGCTTTAGATAATAACATAATAGATGATCCTGAAGGCCCCAGTCAATCTATCAATATGTTATTGTTTATGTTCAGGATTAGAGATAATGAGAGGGACCTGGTTCCATGACCAATCTTGGCAACCAGTTGATTGTGAACATGCTGATAGGTTAGTATAAAATGCTGATATATATATCTTTCACTAGCTGATAGGTTAATAAAACTTACTTATATATATGCTAACTAGCTGATAGGTTAGTAAACCATGCTTATATGTGTTAAATAACTGATAGGTTAGTATAACATGCTGATATATGTTAACTAGCTGATAGGTTAGTATAACATGCTGATATATATATAACTTGCTGATTGTATTGTATATGAATGTTATGTTTTTTTTTGATACCCTATTACAATAAGACCCCCGGCCACCCCCCCCCCCCGCCCGTGGTATCAATTTTGATTCGAAAAGGTCTGTTAAGAATTTAAAACCACGAAAAAACTTTCCTACCCGAATTAAGAATACATTTACCTTCTATAGATGCTAAACAGAGTTAGATTTTACATTCTGAAAAAACGAGACGATTATTTATGAATTGATCCAGAATAATTGTTCTGTAAATCTGTTTTAGAATGTCACACCTAGCCCTGTGTATCATCTAGGAAGTATTTTATAATAAGATTATGATATGTAAATTTTACATTTCGATACAGATCCAGATCCAGAAACAGATACAGATTCAGATCCAGATCCAGATACAGATTCAGATACAGATACAGATACAGATACAGATACAGATACAGATACAGATCCAGATCCAGATCCAGATACAGATACCGATACAGATTCAGACAGGAAACCTCTCAAGAGGTCTTAAGTTTTTTTTTTTGGTTTGGTTTGATCTCTGAAATTGGGTTTATTAAGTTTGGTTTGAGCTCTAAAGTTAGGTTTTTTTGGTTTGGTTTGAAATCTGAAATTGGGTTTATTTTGTTCTGCTTGAGCTCTGAACTTTGGTTTATTTGGTTTGGTTTGAGCCTTGAACTATTTGGATTGTTCTAAAATCACTAAGATATTAAGATACGAATCTAGAAAATTGTTGAGTCAGAACAGAAGGGGAGTCTTTTCAAGGAAGAATGAATAAAGAAGTATAGTATGGTTGGGTGGAGGGTTGGATAGGGAAATGGGGAGTATGGTTGGGTGGAGGGTTGGATAGGGAAAAGGGGAGTATGTTTGGGTGGAGGGTTGGATAGGGAAAAGGGGAGTATGGTTGGGTGGATAGTTGGATAGGGAAATGGGGAGTATGGTTGGGTGGAGGGTTGGATAGAGAAATGGGGAGTATGGTTGGGTGGAGGGTTGGATAGGGAAATGGGGAGTATGGTTGGGTGGAGGCTTGGATAGAGAAATGGGGAGTATGGCTGGGTGGAGGCTTGGATAGAGAAATGGGGAGTATGGTTGGGTGGAGCCTTGGATAGAGAAATGGGGAGTATGTTGGGTGGAGGGTTGGATAGGGAAAAGGGGGGTACATGGTTTGGTGGAGGGTTTGGGTTTTTTAATTTTCCCCCGGCGGACAAAGGAAATAAGTTTTTGTCACAAACTCTAATTTTCTAATCCTTACATCTCAGCAACCAGATGTTCTAGATAAAATATTTTAAGTTTAATATATCAAAAGTTTACACCGATTGGGTGCAAAGATATGGGATTACAAAAATTGAGTTTGTGGCAAAAACTCTATTCCTTTGGAGGGTTTATCATTTTTAACAGCTTCAGCAAAGATTTCGTAAATATCCGTAAGACACTTCCGGATCCAAATTGATCCAACTTGGAAACCTTAGGAAAATGTAAGTAAGGGGGGAGGGGGAATTTACAAGGGAGGTGGTAGTTGAACCCACAATATAATTAAAGAAAATAAGCACTCACTACAATTACTATATCTTTGCAAGGAGAACTTATTGATTCAAATATAAAAGGTATCAGAACCAGGTTGCAAAGATATCTAGATGAGAAAATTAAAATTAGTGGCGAGTGTTTACTGTTCACTGTTCATTTTCTTTGATTATTAAACATTAACACTATTAGAACTAGAAATTCTACATTACAGAGTCTATAATAAAACATTTCAACTATTTTATTGCATTTATTAACCATTGAAGTTTTGAAAATGAATAACTAACCACTATTGGCATCTGCATGAACATTGAACAGCATTCCTCTCTGGTTTAGTAAACAGTTCTCAAAACAAACAAAGTTTCTTGTTTTCCCGTAAATAATGGAAAAATGGAAATCCCATATGTAATTAAAGACGTCTTTATCTGAACTGTTTTATCAGTGTAACCAAACATATAGGAGCGTCATGCTTCAAGCTAAAAAAACCAACTAAACAATGTTGTTCCTTCTAAATATTCCAATTCAGGGTTAAAATGGTACGGAAATTATTTTTTAAAATAAAAGAATTTATCTCTTATTATTAATGATTAACTTATTATATGACGGGTAGAGAAGTTATATGGATTAAAAAAATAAGACATTTTCTTAAAACAGGGAAGCCAATTTTTTTTAAGCATTGTATTCGTTCCTTCGTTTACTGCAGTGGAGTTTTCTTTTGTTGCTGAGGAATGTTGTTTAAATGTTTTTTCAGAGTTTTTTTAACAAGATAATACACATTTTTAGAATTTCTTTTTCACAATATTTTGATTTCTCAAGAAATTCTCATGTTGATGTTGGTCTTGGATATCAAAGGGATAGTTCAACAAGTAGGTGGATATTTAAGGGATAGTATTCCTAAGTTGATAGAGAACATGGATATTAAAGGGATAGTATTCTCAAGTTGATAAAGAACGTGGATATTAAAGGGATAGTATTCCCAAGTTGATAAAGAATGTGGATATTAAAGGGAAAGTATTCACAAGTTGATAAAGAACGTGGATATAAAAGGGATAGTATTCCCAAGTTTATAAAGAACGTGAATATTAAAGGAAAAGTATTCCCAAGTTGATAAAGAACGTGGATATAAAAGGGATAGTATTCCCAAGTTTATAAAGATCGTGGATATTAAAGGGATAGTATTCCCAAGTTGATAAAGAACGTGAATATTAAAGGGATAGTATTCTCAAGTTGATAAAGAACGTGGATATTAAAGGGATAGTATTTCCAAGTTGATAAAGAACGTGGATATTAAAGGGATAGTATTCCCAAGTTGATAAAGAACGTGAATATTAAAGGGATAGGATTCTCAAGTTGATACAAAACGTGGATATTAAAGGGATAGTATTCCCAAGTTGATAAAGAACGTGGATGTTAAAGGGATAGTATTCTCAAGTTGATAAAGAACGTGGATATTAAAGGGATAGTATTCCCAAGTTGATAAAGAACGTGGATATTAAAAGGATAGTATTCCCAAGTTGACAGAGAACATGGATATTTAAGGGATAGTATTCCCAAGTTGAGAGAGAACATGGATATTTAAGGGATAGTATTCCCAAGTTGATAAAGAACATGGATATTAAAGGAATAGTATTCTCAAGTTGATAAAAAACGTGGATATTGAAGGAAAAGTATTCCCAAGTTGATAAAGAACGTGGATATTAAAGGGATAGTATTCCCAAGTTGATAAAGAACGTGTATATAAAATGGATAGTATTCCCAAGTTTATAAAGAAAGTGGATATTAAAGGGATAGTATTCCCAAGTTGATAAAGAACGTGGATATTAAAGGAAAAGTATTCCCAAGTTGATAAAGAACGTGGATATTAAAGGGATAGTATTCTCAAGTTGATAAAGAACGTGGATATTAAAGGGATAGTATTCCCAAGTTGATAAAGAACGTGGATATTAAAGGGATAGTATTCCCATGTTGATGAAGAACGTGGATATTAAAGGGATAGATTCCCAAGTTGATAAAGAACGTGGATATTAAAGGGATAGTATTCCCATGTTGATAAAGAACGTGGATATAAAAGGGATGGTATTTCCGCGTTGAGAGAGTACGTGGATATTAATTTTAAAAGTCAAAATATTGATTTTCTAATTGTCATCATGACAAGAACCAATGATAATTTAAAATACAAAGATATCTGACACTAAGAAAAGTACATTTGGATTGAAATAGTCGGTGATATTCAGATGTATTTAGAAACAATTCATTTAGCGTTTTCTATATTTCATTCTATATATTGAACTGGGTCTAGAGTAAAGTTGGCAACTTTTCTGAAAATAGGTTTAATATTTAAAGAAATTTGGCAGGATAAGTTTAAGTTGTACAAGCCCTGAACCTGGGGGAGAGGGAAAAAGTTTGAACCATAAGAACAACTTTCAAAGGGTTTAACAAACTAGAACACATTTTTCCAAAAAAGAAACAAGATAACTACAAGTATAAGTATGGTTCAACATCATTTATAAAAAATTTAAAAATATTTAAATTTTTCTAGTTAACGCAACTCTTTTATAGTACACTCAAAATTTGAAAATAGACACAAACGATTGGCAGTAAATACCCTACTGCAATAAATCCGTTTAGATTTGTATCCATCCAGGTACAAATCATCACTCTCGTTAATCCACGAGGCATAGAACTATTGAGTTTTACCGTTTAAACGTGGAAGTATATATTTTCAGTGTCCTATTATACATATATATATATATATATATGTTAAAAAAATTAAATATCGTCGACCGCGACTTTGTATAAAAGACTTTTTGTAATTTTTAACCTCGATCATCTGAATTTTTCCCACAAAATCTGATTTTTTATGGTTTTGCAACCCGATGCTGTAGACCTATTTATTGTAAGCTATGAATTCTGTTGGATCAAATAATCGAAGTTTGAAAAACCTGATGGTTTGCACCATCAGGTTGCAAAGATATAGGGATCACAAAATTTGAGTTTGTGATAAGAACTAAATTTCTTTCCGAGATTCAAAACTATCAAAAGCAGTATTTTTGCATAAATAAATGATAGTTTCTCTGAAATAATATAAAAGAAAAACCAAGAAATTGAGTCTGCTGTGCCACCAACTAAACATTTTCTAATCCCTATATTTCTGCAACATGGTGGTAAGCTTTTATATTTAAAAAAGATTATTCATAATTGCATAACTCATAGTTTGAAATATCTAAGATCTGTGGGTGTGAAACAATTTTCGGGTCCAGAAAATCAGAATTTGGGGCAAAGACTCAATTCCTTTCATTTAATCAAAGGCCTTTTTAAAGTCCAAAACTGATTTTTTAAAATTCTATCTCTCTTTATTTCAATTGGAATATTTTATTTTTACGAGTCGGCCCTTTAAAATATTGCAATGCCAAAAGCTGAAATTTTATCATAATCATAAATTTACCAAATGTACGGTGTGCAGCTCTCGTACAATTATATAATAAAGGGACACACAAATTGTATTAATTTTTCCTTATTTTTCAACCCTAAAAAGGTTAAAGAACCAAACGCTTCACACTTTTTTCTCTAAAAGGCTGTCATATTATACGATCATAATGAAATTTATATCACGATGTTTTAGTATGCCAGGACTTAATGATTAAAAAATGTTTTAATTTGATCAATTCTTTAAATGGTATCTGTGTATATCGTTAATCTATGCAAGGAGTATCACTTGAAAAAACTGGTACAGTCTGTCTACTAAGAACTACAGCATATCACGTAGGTGGTAAATATGCTCTCTATTCTGAATAATGACGAAGGGTCGGGGTTGAGCAGGTTATATAAGCCCTATCCCCCTCTCATTCAAAGCACACTTCAAGGAAACCAAAACATTAGAAACTTAAAGAAAGCGTTGTTCATAATTTGTGTAAAGTATTTGAGATAATAATTCCATAAGGAAAGTTTAATAAAGTTTAAAGAATAGAAGAATTTATATTGTCCTACCGGAGAATGATAAATTGTTTAATTTTAATAAACGTCAAGGTTTACGTTCAAGGTTATGGGAAGGGCTAAAAGTAGAAAGTAGTTTGTGGAAATAGAAATAGATAAAATAAATCAACTAAATACTAAATACTAAAATAAATCAAAATATTTTTTTCAAAATTCAAAATTTCGATTTATTTTAGCTTTTCCCAAAGTATTTTAAAAATTCTGCTTAACAATTTTAATATTTAGTATATACTGAACACTTTAGATAGTTTTTATTATTTTAGGATAGAAGCCGAACACATAAAGAAGTTTATGGGTCACAAAATGGCTGATTATGTTTGGGATGTGAGGACATCAACTAGACGAGAAGTTCAGGTAGATAATCAGGATTTAGGTAGATAATCAGGTTTAGGTAGATAATCATGGTTTAAGTAGATAATCAGGTTTAGGTAGATAATCAGGTTTAGGTAGATAATCAGGGTTTAGTAGATAATCAAGGTTTAGGTAGATATTCAGGGTTTAAGAAGATTATCATATATGGTAGAGAATCAAGAGTATATTTTAAAATTAAAATTTTAAATATATTTAGAGTTTTTTTTAAATTTTATTTTAGTGCAAAAAAAATGACAATAATAAAAATAATAAGTTTTGCTTTAGGTAGATAATTAGGCTTTAGATAGATAATCAGGGTTTAGGTAGATAATCAGGGTTTAATTAGATAACCAGGGTTTAGGTAGATAATCAGGGTTTAGGTAGATAATCAGGGTTTAGGTAGATAATCAGGGTTTAGGTAGATAATCAGGGTTTAGGTAGATAACCAGGGTTTAGGTAGATATTTAAGGTTTAGGTAGATAATCAGGGTTTAGGTAGATAATCAGGGTTTAGGTAGTTAATCAAATTTAGGTAGATTATCAGGGTTTAAGTAGATAATCAGGGTTCAGGTGTAGATAATCAGCTTTAGGTAGATAATCAGAGTTTAGGTAGATAATCAGGGTTTAGGTAGATCATTAGGGTTTAGGTTGATAATCAGGGTTTAGATAGATAATTAGCTTTAGATAGATATTCAGGGTTCAGAGAGATAAACAGGGTTTAGGTAGATAATCAGGGTTTAGGTAGATAATCAGGGTTTAGGTAGATATTCAAGGTTTAAGTAGATAATCAGGGTTTAGGTAGATAACCAGGGTTTAGGTAGATAATCAGGGTTCAGGGAGATAATAAGGGTTTAAGTAGATAATCAGGGTTTAGATAGATAATCAGGGTTTAGTTTGATAATCAGGGTTTAGGTAGATAACCAGGGTTTAAGTAGATAATCAGGGTTTAGGTAGATAATCATGGTTTAAGTAGATAATCAGGGTTCAGGTAGATAATCAGGGTGTAGGTAGATAATCAGGGTTTAGTAGATAATCAAGGTTTAGGTAGATATTCAGGGTTTAAGAATATAATCATATATGGTAGAGAATCAAGGGTATAGGTAAATAATCAGAGTTCTTGTATACATGATATCTACAAATAAATAATAAAATTTTTTAAAAATATTTCGAGTTTTTTAAAAATTTAATTTTAGTGCAAAAAAAATGACAATAATAAAAATAATAAGGTTTACAAATGAATTACCATGTTTTTAGGTTTAACCGCCATGTCTAAAGTTTAATTCTTTGGCTATAAACCTACGACCCCCCCCCCCCTACCCCCTATCAGGGGGGTTTAAGTAAATGGGTAAACTTGTGAGCACAGCTTAACCCTGTAAAAATCCCTCCCTTGACATGTATGCTGAATACAAATTATCTTTAATATTCACATACAGCTGGTTCATAGTAGACTACTGTTAGTCAAAAATAAAAGATAAAAATAGGGTTGATGAAGCGGTTTCTGCCTTCATATGGACTGCCCCTATATTTTAAAGCAACTATCTCCTTTTAAACTTTGCATGAGAAAAAATCAAGGACGTTTTTCACGTTTTACGGTTTTTTAAGAATGCAACTTACAGGTTAGAAGAAAAGAGCAAGGAAGTTGCCACATTTATTTATATGATTAAAACGGCAATATCTCCCACATTATTACTCAAATAAACATCTAAGGGGTATCTTAGGGAATTGCAAATGCCATTTTTTAGTAGGGAGGATCACTTTAAATTACGCCAACAGTTCCTTTAAACTTGACTCTTAATATTCAGTTTTTTTCAGAAAAAAAAGAATTTTCAGAATCACACAAAAATGGGTGTTAGAGAATTTCACCAGCGCAACTTCCCCAACACAATTTCCCCAGTCACAACTTCCCCAACGGCAATTTCCCCAACTGCTAATTTCCCAACACTGACTTCCCCGTCACTTATTTCCCCAATACCAACTTTCCCAACAACGATTTCCCCATGCAGTAAAATCCTATCCGGCAAATTAAAGAATTCTTGTGCTGACTTAGGAACTTTTGGTCTCTCAGTAGCAACCAGAGAAGCACTTCGGTTCATTTCTAAAGGCTTAGTTTACCAGAACCGACCTGCCTGCAGAATATCAGGGTTGGCTACAGCTGTTTTTCAATGGCGGAAGCTCCACACTTTGCAATTGCATGGTTTATATTATTATTATGGTTGTTGGAAAGTGATATTACGTTCAGATCCAGAACGATTGAGTTTTATCCCTTGAGATTTATTGTAGGTTATACTCATACTTATTGGGATCCACCAGAACATTGCTCTACTTTGTGGCATTGTATAAACTGCTAGAAATGATCCAACTGATTGGGTTTTTCACATTTAAAAAGTTGCGAATTTTTTTATCTCCAAATTGCGAATTTGTTAATTGGAATAATGTTAAAAACGAACAAATTTAATATTTTACCAAATGGCAAAATTGTTGTTGGGGAAATTGCTGTGTTTACTGCATCGGGAAATTGTTGTTGGTGAAGTTTCTGTTGGGGAAATTAGTGATTGGGGAAATTGTCTGTTGGGGAAATTGCTGTTGGGGAAGTTGTCTCGGGGAATTAGTGACTGAGGAAGTTGCGCTGGAGAAATAGCCCAACACCAAAAAATGCAGGAATTGAAAAAAGAACTGTCATGACTACATAAAGTTTAAAATTCCTAAAATATTCTTAAAATTTTGAAAAAACAAGTATTAATTAGATTTTTTTTATTTTTTTATTTCTGTTTTTGTTAAGGTTCATCATGTTATGCAGTTTCCAGGGGAATACAGGTATAACTTTTTATTTCTATAATGTGTCCAGAGATGAAAACTTTAGAATGGGATATCCTTAATCCCGATCGTTTAATTAATCTGGAGATTAAATTCATGAGGAGAACAAGCATTATTTAATCTCAAGATTAAGAAATAGAGTGGATTAAGCATTAGTCCCGATATCCACCATTCTAAAGTTCCCAGCTCAAGTTGAACAGATTTTTTTATGAATTCAAGGGATTTTAAAATATCTTGTGAATGCTCGAACAAACTTTGTTTTAAATTGGTAGCAATAATAAAAAAATTGGTTTTGACATTTTTCACCTAGGAAAACCGATCCGAAAAAGTATTTATTAAAAAATGCAGTTTGAAAGTTTTAAAACTCGTAATTTTGTTGAAATAAAATTAAAAGTGTTCAAAATAAGCCTAAGTGTTCTTTATTTCCCCCTTCTCTCCCTCCCCCATTTATATGTTTGTTCACGTGGAAAAATAAAAATAAATAATATTTTCTACATTAAAAAGTAATAAGTATAAAAGTATGCAAAACGGCTGATTCCTGTCATGTCAGAAAATGATGAATAGTCTATAAGCTCTCAGTGTGATAATTCTAAAACTTATTATTCAGCATTTATTTACATTTACTACTCATGAAAACTAGTTTAAAGAGAGTGTTCGCGAAAAATTAGGATTATTTATTTCTATTCGATGTTTTTGTGAGGAAAATATAAAGAAAAAATTAGTTACAAGAAGGAATAATGTAGGAAATATTGGGAGCAAATAAAATTACAGCGTAATTTCGCGAAATTGAAGTTTCGCTAATTGCGTAATTACTACAAAATTTCGCAAAATTACTTTGTAGAAATTACGTGAATTACGCTTTAATTTCGCGAAATTGAAGTTTTGCTAACTATGCATAATTATTACAAAATTTCGCGAAATTATTTTGTAGAAATTACGGCCGAAATTTCGCAAAATTGAAGTTTCGCCAATTACGCGTAATTCTGCAAAATTTCACGAAATGAAAATTATTTCGCGTAACTGCACGTAATTTCGTGTAGGTGAATAACAGCTTTACGTTGGAAATCATAGTTTGTTTCCAACTATGTTAAAGGGACTATTGTTTTAATTTAAAGTTACCCTTCAATTAAAGAGCGAGTTAACGGGATTCACAGCTGTACCCTTTACACATTTACACCGTTATCTGATCAATAATTTGGGAGTTATCGTCGTTCTTTTAGCTTGAAAGTGTTTTCTTCTAACACGTCAGTATGCCGAGTCCATTAGCGCCTGATCCAATCAGGGTTCCGTCATGTGTTTGTTGTCTATTCTGAACCAATAGAAATAGTATATATCGGTAACATTTATATTTCTATCTATCTCATTATCCAATTAGAGTTAAGAATCCTTCAATCGGCGCTATTAGTAAATGGAAATATTTACTTCTACTGAAACTATAGTGATGTTTATTTTTATATTCATATTATTCACGCTCTATTGATTAGACAAAACTTTAAAGGTACCGTTGTGAATCGATTATGCCTCTCTGTAAATTGAGGACCACCTTACTTCTACACTTTAAGTATATTATTCCAGGGTGGAATGGATGTCTCCCGAAGAAACCTATATGCACCTAGAGTCAACAGGTAAAAATAAAGGAAATAATAATTAAAATTAGAAAAAATACAAAAAGTATAAAGCAATGTTTCTAATTGAAATTAAATATTATACGTTGATTAACAAGATATGATTATAGTTATAAAAGAAGCCATATTATTATAATTTTCAAGGTTTCGGCAAAATTAATTTAGCAAAATGGAAATTGAGGAAATGAGCAGAATTTCGCCTAAAGGTTTCGAAATTCCTGAAACTTAAAAGCTATAATTTTTAAAGTAAGGTTTGAAGCACTCTGCTTGCCTAGATCTAATATAACAATCTATATATAAATTTGGCTTGTCTGTTTGGGTGTCTGTTTGTTTGTTTGTATCCAATAAACGTCAAAACGGCTGAACCGATCGGGCCCAAATTTTTTGTGGGACATCTAGGGACCCCGGGGAAGGTTTATGAATGATTGAAATTTTAAATATTTGTCTCCATCAAAATTCGATCTTCATTAAATTTTTTAAAATTTTGAAAATCCGCGAAATTTTTTGTGAAAATCCGCGAATTATTTTTGTTTTGTTTTACGATGTACACAAAGAGAACATGTTCACAATTAATTTAGAAGATGGGCGCGAAGCACCCTCTAAGGCTAGTATTAGTAAACTACCCCTCCCACCCCTATACTGTCCCTTGCATTAATGTAAAACGGACCTTTGGTGCAACCTCTACTAAAAATAAATGTTTTAGGATCGAAAATCTATAGAGGTCTAGTTGAGTCTGTAGGAATAAAGAAGTCTGCAGGTACAAATATATAGACACTAAATATAAAATTATATATTTGGAAGATCACTACCCTCCCCCCTCCCACCCATTTCTTCCTGATAGGAAGGAAATAGACGTCTAATTTCGGCATTCTTTAACATTTTTGGTTTGTTTTGGAACGATCTGAAAGATTTGGGGTTCATCAGTTTTAAAAGAAAAAAGGAACTGCACACTCGCCTAAAAATCTAATATTTAATCTTAAATCTTAGCAACTTGATGGTGTTAACCTTTGGTATTTAAAGAGGCCGAATTTGAAGAATTTGAGCCGCGTCTAAAACTTAAGACGCGGCTCGAACATGGTTTTATCCACTTGAAAGTATATTCAATGTTTCGAGAATTGAGCCAGAGCTCAATTGGAACCGGTTTTTGGCGGTTCAGCGACGCAATTAATATTCTTTAAATCCGGCCTCTGAACTTGTGATTTTAAAAATATATCTCCGACATAAGAACAAAAAACATAATGATAAAAAATTAGAGTATGAGTGAACATTTAAAGTAAAATGAAGGGTCACTTGAAATTACAACCACAGTTCCTTTAAAGCGCGATTTTACCGTGTTAAAGTTCAGTTAAAGTTTGATTAAATATCAATTAAAAACGTTCACGATAAAAGACTGAACAGTGTGGATTTGAACAATTACATATTGTTTTATGCACGTACTATATCGACTTTTTTTACATTATTAAAGGCTAGTATTACACTTAGTCACTTAATATATGTGTATTTGTATAATATGAATACAATATATATATATAAATATATATCATAATCTATGAAAGTGCCTCCAAACGGATGTTCTGTAATTTTAAAGAGCGATAGGCAATTTCAAATTTATGTAAATAATTGTCAAGCCAAATCTAGAAGAGTTATTGATAGGTCAATCTTTGTTGTCCATTTTAGACATGATTTTCTCTGCAGTATCACGCCATTGGCTGAAGTTCTGGTGACGTAATACGGACTATATGTAATAATATTATCAATTATATCTGCAAATGCAAAATGCAAAATCAAAAATTATAATAGTAGCAAACCTGAGATTCTCAGGCTCCTGTGGGATATAATTTCGTTTTTAGATTGGTTGCGTATTTGCTGAATATGATCTGTTTAAACCTACTATTTTTATACAAAATTGTATATTGTATATTTTGTATAATTTTGACACAGTTTTATATCAATTATAAAAGAAAAACAGTTATAATACTGCAATATTCTTCATATAATTTGTACGATTTACGGATTTACCAGGAAAGAGAAAATTTTAAAAAACTTACACTCCACTGATTTTGTTTAGAAAAGTGTATATAGAAAAGTTGATTTGTTTTGTTGTTATAGTAGTTGCTGGATTCGTTTAAAAAAATCTTTAAAAAATCATATTTCAGGTTACCGCATTTTCAGGGGGTACAAGGAACCGTGTAATGCCGCTGAACGTTTACCTGATGTATCGCATATCGTCTTTGTTGTTCATGGAGTGGGCGGTATTATGGACGAATCAACAATCGGCAGAAATGCTACAATGCTCAGGAATGAATTATTCAAAATAATTCAAAATTGAAAATAATTGATTTATTTTGTCAAATCAGTAAAATTTGACAATTTTTTAAGATTAAAAAAGGAAAAACAAAGATAAAGTAAAATTTAAAAGAACGTTTGATTTTACATATTTTCCAATCTACAGAACTATAGTTTATGAATTCTAGAATGATTATTCTATTTGAATATAAGCGAGCTAAATTAATATATTTGAAATTAATTTGAAAATTGTGGGAAAAATTTCAAAATCTTGCTGCATATTATCTACAGAATTTTACACAGTAATTGATAAATGTAAGATTTACTGCAATATTCTCGGTACAGTAAAAACTACTTGACTCTCGCTGCAGTATAATCCGTCCAGTCCCATCCATTCATCAACATTCATTAGGATAATGCGCAAGCTTAGACCTTGAAGTAGGGACACATTCTTAATACAAGACCGGGACTCATGCCCGGGCCCATTCTTAATATAGGTGTGGGACTCATGTCTGAACCCATTCTTAATACTAGACCAGGACTCATGCCCGGGCCCATTCTTAATACAGGTGTGGGACTCATGTCTGAACCCATTCTCAATACAAGACTGGACTCATGCCCGGGTCATTCTTAATACAGGTGTGGGACTCATGCCTGAACCCATTCTTAATACAAGACCAGGACTCATGCCCGGGCCCATTCTTAATAAAGGTGTGGGACTCATGTCTGAACCCATTCTTAATACAAGACCAGGACTCCTGCCCGGACCCATTCTTAATAAAGGTGTGGAACTCATATCTCACCCCATTCTTAATACAAGACCAGGACTCATGCACGGGCCCATTCTTAATACAGGTGTGGGACTCATGTCTGAACCCATTTCTCAGACAGGACCGGGGCTCATGCCCGGGCCCATTCTTAATATAGGTGTTAGAGTCATACCTGAACCCATTCTTAAACAGGGGACTCATACCTGAACCCATTCTTAAACAGGGGACTCATACCTGAACCCATTCTTAAACAGGGGACTCATGTCTGAACCCATTCTTAAACAGGATACTCATACCTGAACCCATTCTTAAAACGGGAGACGAGCCTTTCTGAAAACGAAGGGCTCATGTATTGTTCATATTTTCTGAAACTTTAAGAAAACTAATTTAGGTGGTGTATTTTTCGACCTACACATATCCGCCATACTCCACTTCTGACCTACGCCAAATCCGCTATACTTCACATCCGACCTACTAGAACGTGGTATTTTAGCTGCTATATGGACTTGTAGCCGCAGCGCCCGGCCCCCTAGCCTGTCCTAGCCGCGGCGCTCGGCCCCCTAGCCTGTCCTAGCCGTAGCGCTCGGCCCAGAAATTGTTATAACCTAACCTAACCCTCAAATAATACTAAAATAAACAGCTGGCGTAGGTCCGATATTGCAGTAGGTCGGAAAGTTAGTAGGTCAGAAGTTTAGTAGGGGGATGTTACGTATAGACGATGTAACATTACCCTAATTTAAACATTTCCTGAGTTTCAAGACCGTGTTCCAAACAACGAAAAACATGCATTTATGAAAACTTCATAATCAGGGATTTTGCAAACATCAAAAATTCCCTTGCAGAATTTAATTACATGTTTCAAAGATGGGGCCCATTAAACAGATTAAATGAAAGACGACTTTTAGATTAAAGTAAAAATTGCGCAGTAAACTGTACGTTCAGTACAATATACAGTACAGTACAGTACAGTATAGTACACTATTTACAGATCCGTTTCACAGCAAAGTTAATTTCTAGACTACTGGTAAAACATTTCTTTGTAATAACATCAAAATGTATAAAACTGCTTAAAATTCGTCTCCATAATCCATAATTGTTTTTTTGATCCAATGTATTCTTATATGTTTGTTTCTATCTAAACACAGGAAGCACACTGCCAGGGAATAGGAATAAAGGGAAAGGAAATGGCGTGGTCTGGCATTAGAAAGGAAGTCGCACTGCTTTGCAAATTAACAATTAACAATAAACAAATGTACTCTCCTAGACTGTACATATACCGAGATTCGTATGTACTGTATATACCTACAGTACACACCTTTGGTTCGGTAAACTTTACACACACTCTTTTGGTGCAGACACACACACATGACGTTTCCGCCCCCTGCACACTGCACAGGGTACACGGCCTATTTATCTTGGCTTTATTTTGAATAATTTGCAGGGAAAACATATCACATATTCTAAACAAATGTTACCCAAAATATCAGGTAAAAAAGTTCAAAAACTAGGAATTTTTTCATTGTTTTGTACAGTTTTTAATTTAACAATTTTTATAGTCATATCTTATTTTGATTTTCTTTGATAATATACAAAATAATAAAAGTTCACAATCCTTCAGTCGACATGTTGAATTTAAATTTCCAATTTTCTTTTTATAAATTTTTTTACATTTTTTCTCATATTTTAGGAACAATCTGGTCAGAGGGTTGAACTCTTCCCAGTAGAATGGAGAAATAATCTCAGGTAAACACAAACTTCTAAATAATAAAATATAACAAGCACATTCTTAGAGGAGTAGTAAGGAAAGGAAAGAAGAGGGTGGAGTGGGTTGGTTGGAGGTGGGGAATATGGAGGGGGAGGGGTGTACGGAGAGAGGGGGGGTTGTATGATTGGAAAAGAAATGCTTTTGAACAGTGAAGCTTTATAAAGTAAATATCCTGAACTGAATTGAATAATAACATGATTATGCACACAAACTATATTTACACGTTTTAAAGAAAACGATACTGAATAAGAGTAGAGATGGAACACTTCAGGAATTTCTCCGCCTCCATAACCAGCCTTTCCAACTTCTATTGTAATAATGATTATTGTCTTCAAATAATAAGCCGGATGTAAATACTAGGGACTTTCGAGGTCAATTAATTGAACCCATGGTTTAAGGTTTATGCAAATATTTCACTCTAGATACCCAAACTCTCGTTTTAGTATCGATCCCTATAATACCCTCTATGTACATATCTCTCTCAGAGTATAAATGAATTGGGATTGATCAGCTTCAAAGTATATTTATTGAATACATCTGTAACGTTGTTTCATGTTTAATAAGTTTCTTTAAATATCCAGCTGCTACAGCTCAGGATCTGTCTGAGCAGCTTTCTCTCGTTCAGCTGCACTCAGAGTCTCTGTTATCCAGGCTGCTTCTACAATCTGGGATGCTCTGATTGTGACATAAGCTGCTTCTCCAACTACTAGAGCTGCTCTTTGAATCCACTTTATGTTAGCCGTTCTTACGATCTGAGCTGCTCCTGGAGCTGTTCCGAGAGTCTCTGCTATGTCAGCCGTACTTACAGTCTGACCTGCTCCCAGAGTCTCTGTTATGTTATCATCATTGTTATCATCATTGTTATCATCATTGTTATCAACATTGTTATAATCATTGTTATAATCATTATTATCCTCATTAGATCTGTGAAGAGCTTTCTGTAAAATATCAGCGTCTCCAGTATCAGGTTTAGGCAGCATCTGATATCTTGAATATCTTGGTTCTCCTGTGTATCCAGGATATTCCAGTGGGTAGTTTTTAGCTCCAACTGGATAATAATATCTGATATCTTTAGTGATATTGAGAATTCCGAGGATGTGTATTCATGTTGAAGGATGGGAAAGAGGCTGGCGTCCTCCTTGGTCCTCTGGTAGTCCTGGTAAGATATGTCATCTTGAGAGCTGTCAATGAAGTACAAGTCTCCAGGCTTTAAAGGGGATAAACGGAGCTAAGCTCTAACGTCTATCCTGTATAAGAGCGTACTGATCCTATTCTCCAGGTTCTCTACTCGGCTTAGATTCAGAGGGTTGAAGGGTTTTAGTATCTGGCCATATTCTAAATATTACACCATGCTTTAAATACTACACTATGTCAATACTAACCCTATCAGGGTTTTAAACAAGGCTGATTCGTTATTCTCCGTGTCCTGATAACCGTTATCACGGAGTGGATACAAAACGCCCAAAAAAATGTCCAATAACAAAACATCCAAATTAAACATCACCCAAAAACAAAACTCCCAATGTTACAAATCTTCTAAAAACAAAACATCCAAATAACAAAACATCCAAATAACAAAACACCCAAGATAACAAAAAGCCCCAATTTACAAAATGTCCAAAGTTACAAAATGTCCAAAACTACAAAGTGACCAAAATTACAAAATATCCAAAACTACAAAATATCCAGAATTTCAAAATATCCAAAGTTAAAACTTTTTGTTTTATTTGTACTATTTTTTTGTTCATTTGACCTGGTTTTGTATCCGTTATCACCTCTTAGCTCCCACCCGGAGCAGCTGCCGTTCTCTGCCTAACAGTTATCTAGAGTTTAATAGATTTACCAGCTTAGCTTGTATCCGGCTCTAGATATGATTGGGGCTCTATTAGACTTTCTAACGGACAACTAAACCCTGGATTAGGTTTAGGTCTGTGTTTTCAACTAACTTATTATGTACAATACTAAATATGAGCAACACAATGGGTATGAAACCGTGCTTGTTTACAATAGATGCGAAAATTTCTAAGGGAAATTCACATGAGAGGGAGATGGGATCCAAAATAAAAACAACATCTCATAGCCGGGACAATAAAGCGAAGGTTAAAATATATTAAATAATAAAGCCTGGCTGAGTTTTTAACATTACATGGTTCATTTTCTAACTATTGTAATTTCACCACCACAGAATATGAATTTATCTGAAGACTATTTTCTGCCAACTCTATAAATCTTTGTTCTCCATGGATATAAATATTATCTTGATATTTGTATAGATTGGATATGGGACTTGTAGATGCCATTACCCCACAAAGGTAATTATATTCCTTCACTACAATAATTTTTCATTTTTAACAAATATCGCCGGATGGGAAAAGGTACAAAGTCTTTACCATAAACTCAAATTGTCTATGCCCCAAATATTTGCAACCTGAGGGTGTATACTTAACATTTTTGATCTACCTTAATTCATTGTTTGAAATTCATCGTTTACGGCAAAGATATAAGGATTAGAAAATCAGAGGTTGTGGGCGTGGCAAAGATATAAGGATTAGAAAATCAGAGGTTGTGGGCGTGGCAAAGATATAAGGATTAGAAAATCAGAGGCTGTGGGCGTGGCAAAGACTCAATTCCGTTTTAGGGACTAGCCATGAACGTAAAGAGTTTAATTTACTTTTTATTTAAAAATCGGTTTCAAGTTCAACGAACAATTCTATAATCTATAATTTTTAGATCCTGATATCATTGCAACTCAATGTCGGAGACGTTAGATATGTCAAATTATGAATTCTGTTAGATCAATAAGTCCAAGTTTGAGATATTAAAGGTTTACACCATCAAGTTGTGAAGATATTGGGATTTGAAAATTTCAGTTTGTGGCAAAGACTCCTTTCAAGTTGTATTTAATCATTCCTTAGATAAAGCTAAAGGAGCAATTTACTTCCGGTTAAAATACCTTCCTTTAATGTTTTGACTGTGTAAAAAAGAAGGACAAATAATAAGATTTTCACAATTACAACTCTCTCAAAATGTGTAACCTTATGAGTATATTTGTCTATGCCAAGAAAATTTAGAGATTTCAAATATGTGAATAATTTTTCTTAACCAGAGTTTCCTAATATCGACTTTTAATATTTCTTGCCAAATTATGTGCATAAGTAATTTTGCGGGGTTTATTTTAAATCGGTTTGTCGGGAAGTTGTTTTGAAAACTAAATTTCCGAGGACTTTGATATTTCAAGAGCAATGTCAAGATTTTTTTAATCTGACATTTCTTTCATGTTTTTATTTGTTGAAGAACGGTGTATAGTGAATAATATTTGGAATATTCCCTGGGTTAGAAAATAAAAAATATTAAATTCTTACAATAGAGTTTAGAATGGATAGAATGGAATTCTATGCATCTACTACTGTTGCTGAATAGAGATCTTTAGTTTCTTAATATTTATTCAGATATACATAGTTCCACAACAATGAATATAAATTCAAGAATCAAATTTTTACGTACATTCATTTATAAAACTTGTCCTTTCTTTTTTTATATTCATCCTTTCATCTTGTACTTTCATTAAGCACATTCATTTAATCATTTAGTCTCTTTCTTTAGTACATTTTTCAGTAATCTTTCCCTTTCCTAAACTAATTAACTAATTTTTTCTGTTTTATTTTGATATATTCATTCATTCATTATTTAAACACATTTATTCATTCATTCATCCTACTTTATCTAAACACATTCATTCATTTATTCAGTCATTCCTAACTTTGCACTATCTTTCAGCACATTCATTCAGTGATGTTGTACTTTCGCTTAGCACATGACGCTCTTTCATACATTAATATTTTACTTAATAATGTAATTAATATTTCTTTTCTCCCTTCTTTTAGCATATTCATTCAATTATTTTGTTCTTTCTTAATATATTGCTAATTCCTGAAATTTTCCTTTCATTCTAAAAAGTGTTAAAACCTTTGTTAAGACAAATTTTAAATTAACAATATTTAATCTTTCTTCCTGAAAGATGAAATTTCAATATATTGTATTTTAATCTATTTTTAATTTAGAATAATGGGGCTAAGAAGTTTACTCAATTCTACAGCAATGGACATAATGTATTATACTAGCCCGTTATTTAGGTATCATCATTTTTTACTATTATTATTATCATTATTATTATTATTTTTGTTAATATTATTATTATTATTATTATTATTATTATTATTATTATTATTTTTATTTTTATTATTATCATTATCATTATTATTATTATTTTTGTTAATATTATTATTATTATTATTATTATTATTATTATTATTACAATTATTTATTTTCATAATATTATTATTATTGTAAAATGTATTTTCAGAATGGAAATTTGGAGTGCGTTGCAGCGCGAACTGAACAGGTTCAAAATATAATTAAACTGTGTTGAACTTATTCATTTTTTTCCGAATAAAGATGTCCGTGCCCAAGAAACAAGACAATAAGAAGACGATTTAAAAGTTGTCTTTGATTTTTGAATTTATTTGAGACATTTAGTCGTCAACCTTCATTTACATGCATGATTCTTGAAACAACGAGCACAAAAATTCTTAAAATCCTGGGGATTTCAAAAATGTGGTCTTCCTTTTTTGTGCTATAAATATTACCGGAGATATTGAGAATTTCTTCCAGATTTCAATTTTATTAAGGCAGACCACTTTTTGGAAATGCCAGAACAAGGGGTATTTTGTGACTATAAACTCTAGAATTTTAGTTTAAAATTTAGTAAAGGCCTTAAATTATTTCAAATGTCAAGTCGTCTTGCTACTGTCATGTTTCGCGGGACACTCTCTGTACATTTCGAAAAATGTCTTGGCGTAGAATTTATTCTGTGTGTATTGTAATTACGTTCAGAGGCCTAATTTAAAGAATTCAAAACTGGTTTCATTTGAGCGCCGGCTCAAATCTTGGAACTGTAACACAATTTTAAGTGGAACCAACCAAAGATGGTAGAATATTAGAAGATAGGGCATTAGGAATTTATCCGAATAATGTGAACGCTCTGTTCACTTTTACATGACGTCATTGGCTGCAGTATTGGTTTTAAATTCAAACAATCAACATTAAAACTCTAGTTATCAAATAAATTAATCATTGTAGGTGCCAAAAATGGTGGGAAAATAATGACACGGTTATAAACTTCTAAATTTGTTTTAATCAGTTATAGGATAGGATGCTCTCCTGCTAAGATAAAGCTAACATATTGTGATTTTGTTACGCATCTCATTTGCATGAAAAATACCGCATATTTTGTAACAAAATTTGTTAGATGTCCTTAAGTATGTTTGTTTGGATTTTATGAATGTTTTTTAGACCAAATGAATGTTTTTTCAGACTAAATAAATGTTTGTTTTAACTAAATTAATGTTTTTTTTAGATTTCATGAATGTTTGTTTAGATTTTCTGAATGTTTCATTAGACTATATTAATGTTTGTCTAAATTTTATAAATGTTTGCTTGGACTTTATTAATGTTTGTTTATATTATATGAATGTTTGTTAATATTATATGAATGTTTGTTTAGACTTTATGAAATGTTTGTCTAAATTTTATAAATGTTTGCTTGGACTTTATGAATGTTTGTTTATATTATATGAATGTTTGTTAATATTATATGAATGTTTCTTTATATTATATGAATGTTTGTTTAGACTTTATGAAATGTTTGTCTAAATTTTATAAATGTTTGCTTGGACTTTATGAATGTTTGTTTATATTATATGAATGTTTGTTTATATTACATGAATGTTTGTTTATATTACATGAATGTTTGTTTATATTACATGAATGTTTGTTTAGACTATATGAAATGTTTGTTTATATTACATGAATGTTTGTTTAGACTATATGAAATGTTTGTTTAGACCATATGAATGTTTGTTTAGACTATATGAAATTTTTTTTTAGACTATATGAAATTTTTGTTTAGACTATATGAATGTTTGTTTAGATTATATGAATGTTTGTTTAGACTATATGAAATGTTTGTTGCCCGTCATCCTAATTTTGAATCGAATGGAGGGAAAGTCTCAATTGTCTCACACTCTCTTGGCTGTGTTATTACTTATGATATTTTATCAGGTAATTAGCAGCACTAATTAGCAGATAATTAAAATAATTAGAGTAATAGTGTTTAGAGTGATTAAAGTAAACGTGATTAGAGTAATTAGGGTAATTAGAGTAATAGTGTTTAGACTGATTAGAGTGAATAGAGTAATTACAGTGATTAGAGTTATTAGAGTGATTAGAATAATAAGAGTAATTAGAGTAATTAAAGTGAATAGAGTGATAATAGTAACTATAGTGATTAAAGTGATCATAGTAATTATAGTGATTAGAATGATTAGCGCGATTAGAGTGATTAGAGTGATAAGAGTGATAAGACTGATTGAGTGATTAGAGGGATTAGAGTGATTGGAGTAATTATAGTGATTAGAGTGATCATTGTCATTAGAGTTATAAGAGTGAATTGAGTGATTGGAGTAATTAGAGTGATTGAGTTATTAGAGGGATTAGAGTGATTAGAGAGATTAGAGTGATTAGAGGGATTAGAGTGATTAGGATGATTAGAATAATTATATTAATTAGAGTGATTAGAGGGATTAGAGTGATTAAAGTGATTAGAGTAATTATATTAATTAGAGTGATTACAGTGATTAAAGCAATTAAAGATAGTCGAGTGATTAAACTCCAAAGCCTTGAAATTTTAAATGATGTAATGAATTCAATTAGTTAATTACAAACGGTCTCAGCCGATACATTTTAATGTTTGCAAATCAGTTTAACTCATTAATTCAAAACTTTCCTGTTCAAAAGTTAAACTATGCACTTTGAATCAAAATATGCACATTAAGGTTTGTCCGTTAGAATTGAAAAGCTTTGAATTTTAGTAAAATAAAATGTTTAATTTTACAAAATATAATAAATTTAACAAAAAATATTTTTAAGGTTGGACTCAAGATGTTGAGCATGCCTGGTATTCTGTCCAGGTATAGATGATAATTAATAAATAATAATAAATACAGACGACGTCTTTCGACAAACACTGGCTGACTATATGATAAAAGCTACGAAGATCTAAGCTTAGATTCGATAGATAACGCTGGCCGGCTGTTTATAATAAAAAAACCATTTTTGTCATATCGTAAGACAGGAATTAAGAATTAAATATTTTCATATCTATGACAAGGACAGGTTATGTGCAAGCTGTTAATTATGTCTACTCTTTACAAAATAATCTTATGGGATCATTGTATGTAAAATAAAATGCAGCATTTTTTTAAAATTTCTATGAGACCCGATTCCGCGTCGGAAAAAATTATATTAAATATTTTAGCTCGAAATGAGTTTATAAAAATTTCCGAGGGTCAAGAAACATCAATTGATTACAAGAAAAAAAATGGGACATCTACTTGTAATATCTATGATTAAAAACTTAGTTTTCTTAAAAAAAGAAGTCTAAAATCCATTAAAAGATATTTTCCTAACTTAATTAAAATTACAAGGCCCAAATATTCTACTTGTTTTTTAAATTATTGAAAATAATATCATTTTCCAAGGTTTGTCACATAGTTCACATTATATTTTCTATTTCTGGCTTTTTTCTCTGTTTGGCTGTCATGAACACTCTTCTTCCATTACTTATTCCTGCTCTCTGTGGACCTCCCTAATCTTTACTGTTATATTGGAGTACTGATTATATTTCCTAAATCTATCCTATCCTCCCTAATCTTTACTGTTATATTAGAGTGCTGGTTATACTTTATAAATCCATCCTATCCTCCCTAATCTTTATTGTTATATTGGAGTACTGATTATATTTTATAAATCTATCCTATCCTTCCTAGCCTTTACTGTTATAGTGGAGTACTGATTATACTTTACAAATCCACCCATTCCTCCCTAATCTTTACTGTCATAGTGGAGTACTGATTATATTTTATAAATCCATCCTATCCTCCCTAATCTTTACTGTTATATTGGAGTACTGGTTATACTTTATGAATCCGTCCTATCCTTCCTAATCTTTACTGTTATATTTGAGTACTGATTATATTTCCTAAATCTATCCTATCCTCCCTAATCTTTACTGTTATATTGGAGTGCTGGTTATACTTTATAAATCCATCCTATCCTTCCTAATCTTTACTGTTATATTTGAGTACTGATTATATTTCCTAAATCTATCCTATCCTCCCTAATCTTTACTGTTATATTGGAGTGCTGGTTATACTTTATAAATCCATCCTATCCTTCCTAATCTTTACTGTTATATTAGAGTGCTGATTATAATTTATAAATCTATCCTGTACTCCCTAATCTTTACTGTTATATTGGAGTACTGATTATATTTTATAAATCCATCCTATCCTTTCTAGTTTTTTTTCTGTTATACTGAAGAAGCCCTAAACTATCTAGCTTTCTGTCCTAAACTAAGCGTCTTTCTGTCCTAGGCTTTCAATCGTCCTGTCCTAAACCCTTTTTTCCCTGATGTCCTAAACCCTCTATCTTATTGTCCTAAACTATTTATTTTCTTGTCCTTATACTATGTATAAAAAGGAACTTTCCTAAAAACTATTTTTCTTTTTTTCCTAAACTTTGTTCCTCTCCTTAACTTTTAATCTTTCTGTTCTAAACCCTTTATCTTCCAGTCCTAAAAACTCCCCTGTCCAAACACCTTTTCTCTTACTATCCTAAAACACTCTCTTTCTATCCTTCTCTCTCTGTATTGGATGTCCTAAACCCTAAGTTTTGTATTCCTACCACTGCCGCTGCAGTAAATCAAATCATTTCGTAGAGTTATCATACAAACTCTCTTTTACCTACACACAATCTGACAGACACAAACACACTTTTCAAGAAACTTAGCTCATTTAGAGTTTCTGTTTTCATATTCTGGAAAGAAACTTGTTTTTGTAAACTTTCAGACCTGACGTTTGATTGTTTTGGTGTTTTCAACATCTGTTTTAAGGGATTGTTTTAGTATTTTCAAGTTCTGTTTCAAGGGATTGGTTTAAATTTTTAAACATCTGTTTCAAGGGACGGGTTTGAATTTTTAAACATCCGTTTCAAGGCCAGGATTGGTTTGCATTTTTTAACATCTGCTTCAAAAGACTGTTTTGCTGTTTTCAACATCTGTTTCAAGAGATTGTTTTATATATTCAATTTTTGTTTCAAGAGATTGTTTTGATGATTTCAACATCTGTTTTTAGGGATTGTTTTAGTATTTACAATTTCTGTTTCAAGGGATTGTTTTGCTATTTTTAACATCCTTTCAATGCATTGTTTTGCTGTTTTCAACATGTGTTTCAAGGGATTGTTTAAATATATTCAATTTTTGTTTCAAGCGATTGTTTTGCTGTTGTCAACATGTGTTTCAAGAAATTGTTTTGGTGATTTCAACATTTGTTCTTATGAGATTGTTTTAGTGTTTCTATCTACCTATCTATCTATCTATCTATCTATCTAATATTGAAAGATGAATCGGAAATTAATCTTTCTCAGTTACCATTGTCTTATCTCACATTCTTTTAATCTATAAAAAAAATTGTTTTAAAGGGGGCGTTCACGAATATTTAGAAAGTGTTTTTATTTTTATTTTTTGTTTTAGGTTGGGTCTCCGGCTCAGGGAGGAATTCCAGGTAGGGATATATAATCTTTAAAAATAGATTTTAATGAATGAGAAATGGCAAAATGTTTGATTGATTGATTGATTGATTGGTTGATTGGTTGATTGATTGATTGATAAAGTAATTGATTAATTCTCTACAGGTCGTCCCAGGGGTTGGAAACCAACTGAATATCCAACTGGAGCTGAATCTGGTCTTTTATTTAGGGATACAAATAATAATACTTCTAAATACAATTTATATCTATTATTATTATTATTATTATTATTATTATTATTATTATTATTATTATTATTATTATTATTATTATTATTATTATATTATTATTATTATCATTATTATTATTATTATTATTATTATTATTAATATTATTATTATTATTATTATTATCCTGATATAGAATAGAGAATTTCTTTTGCCTGGGATCTCCCCTGCCTGTATTTCTAAGTCTACGGTGGCGGGATCCAACTAATACTGACTTTCATCAACATATCTTACCAAGAGATTTAGGAACAAACACAATTTTTGGAATTTATTTTTTTATTTTTTATGAAGAGAAATTGTTCTACTTAACATGATCTATTTTTGATGCCGATGTATTTTTGAGAGCCCCCCAATTCAAAGGTAGCCTAGCATGCCCGATTCATAACTGTACCCTTTGAACCTTAATCTGGTCAAAATGTGTAAAATATATTATTTAAGTGTTTTGTTTTACAATTTCCTCCATTGTTTCTGCAGAAGAACTCCATACATCTCTTAGATAGAGAACCACTAATTATTAAAATCAAGTTTTAAAGTTTAAACATGGATATCTCGTTCTTATCTTAAACCTCTTTTAAGGGCACCGTTGTAAATCTATGAATAAATATGGTCACTTAAAATCACGTTTATAATCCAACATTTTAATCACATTTACAGTTTCTACAGTCCGGCATTTTATTTAAGTTTACAGTTTCTACAGTCTGATATTTTAATCATGTTTTAAGTTTCTACAGTCCGACATTTTAATCATGTTTACAGTTTCTACAGTCTGACATTTTAATCATGTTTAAAGTTTCTACAGTCCGAAATTTCAATCATTCTAACAATTTCTACAGTCTGACTTTTTTATCCCGTTTACAGTTTTTACGGTCCGACATTTTAATCATGTTTACAGTTTTTACTGTTCGACATTTAATCACGTTTACAGTTTCTACAGTCTGACATTTTAATCACATTTACAATTTCTACATTCCGACATTTAAATCAAACCTTTAAGAGTTTTCTATTCATCTAAGGGATAAAATCTTAAGCAGTGCAAAAAAGTTGTATTTCATCAAAAGTTCTGAATTGTTTAATGTTTAGTAAAATATTTATACAACATCTACCATCCCTGTGATCCTGTGGCTTATAGGATAGAACCAATATTTATGAAGATATATTCCAATATAGAACCTCTACACATCTACCCTTACTCACAGGTAGATCAATAGATCAATGGAATAATAGATCAATATATCAATTGATCAATGGAACAATTGATCAATAGATCAATAGATCAATAGATCATTGATCGATTGATGAATTGACTAATAGATCAATTGATCAATTGATGAATTGATTAATAGATCAATGGATCAATGGATCAATGGATCAATAGATCAATAGATCAATAGATCAATATATTAATAGACCAATTGATCAAAAGATCAAGAGATTACTAGATCAATTTATCAAAAAGATCACGTCAATAGATCAATAGATTTAAAGATCAAAATATCAATAGATCAAAAGATCAATAGATCAATAGATCAATAGATCAATAGATCAATAGATCAATAGATCAACATAATAATAGATCAATAGATCAATAGATCAATAGATCGATAGATCAATAGATCAATAGATTAATAGATCAATAGATCAATAGATCAATAGATCAATAGATCAATAGATCAATAGAACAATACATCAATACATCAATACATCAATAGATCAATAGATCAATAGATCAATAGATCAATAGATCAAAAGATCAATGGATCAATAGATCGATGGATCAATATATGTTGTAAAATGTAGACTGTACGATATTCAACATAAATCCTGAATTAAAGAATAAAATTGACCAACAAAATAAAAAGTCCAACAGGATCAAATTACAATTTGTTTTTATCAAAAATATTGTTGAAGATATCTTCAACTTAAAAGTATTGCCTGAGCTCCATAACTATGCCAGCTTGTCAAAAATAGGCCAATAGAAGGATAAAGAATTAATGTTTAGGTTGACAAGATACCGTACTGTCAGCTCCCTCTTCATCCTGTTAAACGGGATCCACCCCAACAAGAAGGTCAAACTGTTCTACCTGTCAATATCGCCAACGGGTCCATCAACTTCGACATGCGTCAAATGGCAAGCGGAGTAACCTCCGGTCTCAACAATCAGTCCAACCCCCAACCCGAGAATCCTCAGCACAGTTGGTGGAATATTGTTAGAGACGCCGCCGCTGCCGTCACTCCTTCTGGTCAAGCGCCGTCAGGCTTCGGTGAACATATGAACGGTCACGGCCCTACCAACGGCCAAGCCTTGAACTATGACATGAAGCTACCGGATGGGAAACGGTTAGCGTATAGAATGGATTATGTTGTGAAGGAATCCGGCAATTCCTATATTGCCGCGGTGACGTCACATACCGCCTACTGGTGTAACAAGGATATTGCCTTCCTTATCCTTACTAAACTATTCCCAGAACTGGAGTATATTCCTATTCCTCCAAATCTTCCTCCGTAATCGGATAATTAATTCAGATACTTTGCAAAAAGTCGTCTTATATATTTCCATATTTTTTTTTAATGCCACAAATTTCAGCTACAGATAACATAGATAGGATATCAGAGGTTGTTGGAGCAGTAGCTCTAGTATATTTTAGAAAAAGGTAGTTGAACTACTAGTAATTAGATGAACTCCAATTTTTTGGGCCATCAGGGTTAACTTAAACTTTCAGGAGATCAGGTTCAATAATACATGTTCAGCTACATATCGCTATTTATTAGAATGTTAGAAAGGTTAAAAAGAGTTTAAATATTTCAGTAAGTTGTATTGCTTATTGCTTATTGCAGCTGTAAATTTACTCTTTTCTTGGCTACATTGATACATTTGTACCCCTTCTGGCATTTAGAAACTTATGTTATAATTCACGTGACTTTCAGTTTAAAGAGAGGCATATCCGATTAACAACTAGGAAGATGTCGTCGTTTTTCTAGCTGAAAAGTGTTTAATTCTTACAGTTACTCCATTGTTTCAAAATTAGCAATGCGCAAGTCACTTTAAGAAAAAACACAACTGAAAATGATCAAGTTTTAAAAAAGAAAATGAAGTATATCTCATATATTCAGACAACTAGAAATGAATCGGCACTATTTAAATCAAGGGTTGATAGAAATTATGTCTACAGTCACAGAAGTATCAGGAAAAGTGTCATCCTTTCAATTTTTAATCTTGGATAGAACAAGTTACTGACCTAAAACAACGTCGATGGTCTCACCAAGAAATATATATTGACTCTGAGTCTATTTAGGAACTACCTAGTTGAGCTGATCTAAAATATTTTTTTGCAGCGGGAGTAAATAAAAACAAGGAATTCAGGGAAAAATCATTATTCATGTGTGTTTGAGGGGTGGTGGGAGTATAGAAAGATCTGCTTAAAATTGTAAAAATACATACATAAATTAAGGAAATTAAGGGGAATGAAAATAAACAAAGAAAAAATTCATAATTATATCTTAGATATTTACTACATTTACTGTCACACTCATAACAACCCTTGTACAGGGCCAGGTTGTGGGAGCACTGGGTTTGTTTACATTGGATCCAGAGTGTACAGTACACAATTTGCGCACATTTGAGTTGTGGGTTCCTAGACCGAGTGTAGTTGATCTCTACTATTCTATCTGTGTAATCTGCTAGTTTTGCCGTCTTTCTAGTATTCCATACTCATGGAGGGATTCTTTGTTTCTTTCAACTATCGTCCTCCAGACGTTTAAGCGTCTGTAGGTCAAAATGATAAGTAATGAGATACCAGGCTCCAATCTGAGATTTGAAAATAAAATCTATTTTGCCTTTATTCATCTCTTCAAACCTTGACGAGGGTAAGATAAGAAAAAACTTTCCCGGGCTTTGCAACAAAAGTCCACTTACAAAGATTTAGTTAATCAGAGCTGGGAACTTAAGCATCCCAACTACTTAATTCGAATATTCAACGTGGAAACTTTTAATTTTAGCCCTTAATCCACTCTTTTTCTCTCTCTTTGGATATCCGTGTATTGTTTTCTCCAATGAGAGTGCAGGAATATACTTCTTAAGTTGTATTTACCAATGGCAGCCTTGAAAATGAATTCTATCCCATGAGAGAAATCCGCAATTTCTAAAAAATAAAGAATTTGCTGTCGGCCATTTTGTAAATTAATCGCTGAAGAAAAATATTTAATAATATGTTTGAGATTCTTTTTTAACAAATTTTAACTCATGTATTAATAAATAAATGGGTGAGAAATTAGACCCTTCCAGTCAAGAAAACGAACAAATTTGGCGGCATTCCTAGCTAATCAAAATTGTTGATCTAAATATTAATCTCGAGACTAACATAATCTCAGATCATGTCAGTCATAAGAGAGGATTAAGCATTAATCCTGATATCCACCATTCTAAAGTTTCCAGCTCTGGTTGAAGTTATTTATTTAACAATTGTTAGTCATTTAATAATTAACTTGCTCAATTGTCCCTCAAACATAACAATTTTATGTCATTGTCAAGGATTTAATGCAAGGAAAGTTATTTCAGAAGTGTATGCATGTTTTGTATTGCAGTGTACTGTCACTGGGCGGTAATGTAAACACAAGATGGATGTCGAAGCCTGAAATGGGATCCATCTTTCACATAAATAATCAATGAAATATTCTGGTCATAGGAAACTATCATGTGATTTATCAAAATTATCAAAATTCGAGCTTTAAACCTTCTCGAATACTAAACGAACTGAGACATCTATTCTTGTTTACAAATTCCGCCCAGAGAGAACTGGTTTCAATATGTACGCAGAGTATACGCAACTGCAATTAACTTTCCTTGCATTACATTCTTGGTCATTGTAATGTACCGTACTGTACAGTACTATTGTACTGTAATGAACCAAACTGAATTGCACTGTTCTGAACTTTTCTGTACTGCAATTTACTGTAATTTACAAAACTGAACTGTACTGTACTTTACTATAATGTACTGCATTTACTGTACTGTACTGTTCTTCACTGTACTGAACTGTACTGCACTATTATTTTATATTGTACATATTGTACTAATTTATTATTTGGTTGCATATTTATCTAAAAATGTTGTGATAAAAATATTTTAATAAAGGTGCCAATAGTATTATTTTTGATTTTATTTATCTATATTGACAGGAAGAGATGTCAGTTGTAGTCAGACAATTATTTTAAGATTGTCTACAGTGAAACCCTAAATAACGAATACATCGGAAGAATTTATCAAATGTCGTCTTGACAATGTTTCGTTGAGTTTTATACAATATTACGTTAATTTCTGTATTTGCGAAAATAAATAAATAGCCATGAATATGCGGGAATAGTTTTAAAGAGTTCCATATAACCATTTAATTAAAAAATTAAATATCTGCAACATTCCATCATCAGAAAGTGAAGAATACGACATTTGATGAATTCTTTCGATGTATTCGTTATTAAGGGTTTCACTGTATCACAAGGTGTCCTAATAAACTTGTTAAATAAGTGACGACTTTTGATCAATGCGGTATTTTTTCCTGAACACAATTATTGCAGTATTCAAGCTTAGACATCTAATATCGAAAACGCCTGGTTTTGAGATAATTGACGGAGATATTGCAAAATATTTACAAAGAAACTAATTTTTTTCACACAAACTCAAATTTCTCTAACCCTTTATCTTAATAACCTGATGGTTTAAACCTTAGATATTTCAAGCTTAAATTATTTGATCTATCAGAATTCATAGTTTAAAATATCTAAGGTTTACGACATTGGATTTTAAAGATATAGGTAATCAAAAGTCCTAGTTTGTGGGAAGAACTCAATTTCTTTCGATTTATTTAACACATCCATTTTGTCTTAATATCCAATATCTTCATCAATTTCTACAGACACAAGAAAGGAGTATATATAATCTATATATACGTAAGACGTACAGCCCTGTTTTTATACTTTCTTAAACATGCATTGATTATCAGAAATCTAAGACGACTTTCAAATCGTCTCTCAATTTCTATGTTTATTGGGCCACCATGTAGATTTTTTTAAGATCTGTGTAAATGCAAAGAAACTAAGTTTTTGCCACAAATTAAAATGTTCTGAACCCTATTATAATGCCCTTTGATATTTCAAACTATTAATTTTGTTAGATCAAAAAGTTCAAGATTAAAATATGAAAGTTTTGCACCATCAGGTTGAAAAGCTATAGGGATTATAAAATTTGAGTTTGATGCGAAAACCTAATTCCTTCAGATCAGAGGCTTCCTGTTTTGAATGAACACAAATTAAAGTATTGTAAACATTATATCTTTATAAACTGATGGTATAACACTTTGATATTTAAAACAAAGAGTTTTTGTTAATCTTGCAGATTTTATATTTAATGTTTACAAGGTTTATAAATCAAATTGAAAGGAACTATCCTATTTTAATTTAAAAAGTGGTATTTCCTATTTATGACCGGACCCGCTTAACATCTTTGTCTAAGCAAGAATAAATGAGTCATTCATGATTTATCTTTAGGTTAGCATTTGGGGTTTCTCTTTAAAAGTGACTTGCGGATATCGTGCTTCAGAAATAATGGAGGGGACCACATAAAAATTAAACCCTTTTACAGGGACTGTAAAGGAAAAATAAAAAAGGATACAGGCAGAAACCTGAGAATCTCAGGAGTTGAACGATATATATATAAAACATATATGTTCTTGTCTCGAGAAATTGATATAAAACTGTGCCAAAATTATACCAAAACGTATATATATATATATACATCAGATTTTGTATTCAAGACAGAAAACTTAACCCTATTCCTGCTGGGGGTGGGGGTCAATTTGACCCCCCCTGTAGTTTTTTTTACATAACTCAAAAAGTATTGGTCTGAGATTGTTGAAATTTTCTGACTTTTCTTACATACCCAAAGCCCTCCCTTTAGGCCTAAAACCGGGCTTTAATACTAACTGCCTGAGTCCTCAGGCACACTGCCTGAATGACTGCTTTTGCCTGTAACAAACTAAATCTTTGTTTTGACCAACTTTCACTTGTCAGATTTTGATAAAATTTAGCTTTTTGGAAAGCCTATAACATAAGGAAAAGGATTGCACAAGTTTTGCGAAAAAAAATTGCAAATTTTTTTGCTAACAACCTGTCAAAGGAAATTTGCACATTTTCAGTTTAATTAAAATTTTGGAAAATTTTTTGCAGATTTTAAATGACATGGTCAAGGGCTTTTCAAAAATGTATAAGTTTTCATTTTTTGGACAAATTTTTTTTTGCAAACATTTTTACTTTATAACTGGATTTTGCGATAAAAAATTTAATTTTTGCAAATTTTTTTGCAGATTCTAAAAGTAAAGCACAAGAGCTTTCTAATGATGTATCATTTGTCATATTTGGACATAAAACATGGGATTTAGAGGGGGGGTCAAATTGACCACCCCCCAAGCATATCCTGGTTTTCAAGTACCCCAGCAGGGTTAGGGTTAATTCAAACTTGGAATCGTGGTCTAATCCTTTGAGGGTAACCCTGTTTCCATGTAGTTGTATTATGTTACGAGGCCGAGGCCGAGGTTCTAAAAGTCTGTACTCCATGAACCTCAACTAAGGAGGTTGGGAAGAGGTTAAAATGTTCATGACAAACATGAGAGAATAACATTTTAGTCATTTACTGAACAGTGAATAGTTACACCCTTGCTTGCAACTAACAGATTAATTAGTTATTAGTTTTAGTTTACTTTGATTTCTTAATCTAAATCTGTAGAAAATGGCATAAAAAGCTTAATATATGGTTTTATAACATTTAAAATAAAAATTATGACAAGTAAGTAAACAACTTGGATAAAAATGAGTTCCAAAGTTGAAGCTCATTGGCTTTAAACTTGGGTCTTAAGAAATTGATATTAAACCGGTGGAAAGGAGTTTTATTTATTTAATAGTGAGATCATACATAATGATGTACAGGATAACCCACAAAGGATGAGACTGATAAAAGTTAAATTAGGTTTTCTACCTTGAATTTAATCTATTTATGGCTTACTTAAAGCTAAGGCAAAGAAAGATAAAAGTTTACAGCCGAAGGGAATAAAAAGAAACATTATAAAATCTGTACGATTTTGAAGTCTCATCCTTTGTGGATAACCCTGTACATAAAAAGACTGTATATTACCCAATACTCAATAATTATACAATATTACAAAACTAAAAGGGAGCTTCCAAAGGTTTTAACCATCAGGTATCAAAAAATAAAGGGATTAGAAAATTTGAGTTTGCGAAGAAACTAAGTTTTTTTATCTGATCTATTTCTAAGATGTGTCATGAAATTTTCTCTGATATTTTGTCTTTAATTTATAAATCCACATTTTATTCAATTCAATGCTTAAAAGAAAGCTTCAAATAAAAATAGCAAAATCAGAAAAAAGGACAAGCAGGTTTACAGTACAAGGTCTGAGTAGGCAGGAATTCAAATGAATTTGTTAATACTGGAAAAATACTAAAATTAAACAAGCAAACTCGACATTTTTCTCCCATAATTGGCAAAATCAACATTTTTATACTTAAGAAATTAAAATTAAAACTTCAAGTAAAAATTAGATTTACCCTGGTCAAATTCCTAAAGGACTAAAATAGGTTTATATTAAAAAAATAAGTTCCGTAAATTATATTAAAATATATTAAAATGTTATGAATTTGAAGGGAAATAAGACGATATTTAAACAAATTAAAGACATTTTTATGTTTATTTATTTAAACTTTTTAAGACTTTTTGATTCTAAACATCGTGGACATGCAGATCCTGACAGCCTACATTTGTTTCAGGTGGTGAGTTCATTGCAAACTGGATTCACTAGCTACGGGCTTGTACGAGTAAAAGTGTATGCAGTACGGTACACATAACCGGTAAACCCTATTACTGGTACATACAACGATAGTTATGTACATTTTTTTTTGCTAACCCATGCGAGGTTCATGTTTACAAGAAGCCATGCATTAATCTTTGGTTAAAATTTGAATTATTTCATCATCTCATGGTTCAAATATAGATCCGGAGCTTTCTCTGTTTCAGTCTATACCCGGAGAGAGTTCTGTCTGCAACAGTTCTGCTCTTTCATATTTCTAGGACAAACTCTAGCGTGTTTTACAGTCTACACAACTTTATCTATCTCAACTTTAGTTTTATAATCCTTATATCGTTGCAACAACATGGTGATAATCTTTAATACTTTAAAGTTTGACTTTTGTTTATGGTTGAAATTTTAAAGGTTGCTGCATGCATTAGAAAGTTAGAGTTGGAGTTATCTGTTCATATAAAACTATTTCTGTTTGTTTCATAATAATATATTTATTTTAATATTTCAGTATTAAGTAATAAAGATGAAACTTGGTCAAGTGAAGGAACATATTCTCACAGGTTCAACTCTAGTTGGGGTTTTAACAGGTATACTTGGCCCCTTCTCCGAAGTTCTATTATACCACTTAAAAATTATTTTTAAGAAGACAGGAAGCGTAATTCCAAGTAACCTTCATGCTAAGATGGCAATGCCGGATTTAAATCGATAACCTTTAAGTATGAATTATATGGTTTACTCAGACATTTTTTACATTCATGGTTTCATGTAACTAAAACTCTTAATGTGCTTCTTTTATTTGATGAATCATTTAGTTAATTGTTAACAGTTTTAAGTAAGACAGAATAAGAAATTTAGGTCCCAGAGTTTTAGGTTGGCATTAAAATTCTCATCCTTTTTAGGTAAGTCCGTATGTATATTTTATGGATAATTAAAATTCATTATTGTCTTTATGGAAAAATAATCTAAAACAGAAAAAGGAAATATAAGCAAGTTTTTAAAGAGAATTATTTTTCAATACTTTTTTTTCTGTGTTTAGGTCTAGGCCTGGGAGTAGCCTTGAAATCCTACAGCTCGCCTTGGACCCCCAGGTAAATATGTAAACAATGTGTCAACTCTACAGTGTACAATTTGTAAACTGTACAATACGTAAACTTTACAATGTGTAAACTCTACAGTGTAGAATGCGTAAACTGTACAATGCGTAACTGTGCAATTTGTAAACTTTACAATGTGTAAACTGTACAATTCGTAAACCGTACAATTCGTAAACTGTGCAAATCGTAAACATTACAATGTGAAAACTGTACAATTCTTAAACCGTACAATGCGTAAACTGTACAATGTGTAAACTTTACAATGCGTAAACTGTATCATTTGTAAACTGTACAATGCTTAAACTGTACAATGCTGTATAATTCGTAAACTGTAGAATGCGTAAACTGTATAATGCGTAAACTGTACAATACACAATGCGTAAACTGTACAATGCGTAAACTTACCATACACAATGCGTAAACTGTTCAATACACAATGCGTAAACTGTACATTGCCTAAACTGTATAATGCGTAAACTGTACAATACACAATGCGTAAACTGTACAATGCGTAAACTTACCATACACAATGCGTAAACTGTTCAATACACAATGCGTAAACTGTACATTGCCTAAACAGTTCGTACAAGGTGTAAAGTATAGGGTACACTGTAAATTTATCATACACTGTAAACTGTAAACTGTACAGTGTGATGTTTACAATTTGGATTATTATTCCATTTCACATTTATTTTATTTAATATTTCTTAAATTTTCAACAAAATAATTAATCGTGAAAATTGCAAGGATAGGCCAGCAATATTAATCTGATTAATAATAATTGATGCAGAGAACCCCATTTAAAACAAGGTTTGAAGGTTCTGTCCCATCTTTGTTGAATCTTAAAAAAAACTATTTCCAAGTAATTCTATAACACTGAACGTAAGAAAAATTTCATTTTATGCTTAATTGTTTGCACGACTTTGTAACCTCGCAACCTCTCTATAGTCTAAAGATTTTTTAAAAACATCAAGAATTTTTATTAAAGATAAAATGAACCTTAATTTAATATATTCAAGGGAAGCGTATTATGTTACATATCCTGGGAAACTGTTCCTTAACATGCTTAAGGTATATTTTTAATTTTGCAGAAGTTTTTTATATTTTATTTTATCATCATAATTAACGTTAAATATCCAACAAAAAAAAAGATAGTATTTAAAATAGCAGTTCACTTCAATTTCGAATTTGATCCCAATCATAAGAATGAGACTGTATTATAGTAAAACCCATAAAATTGTGGAATAGAGAGACGACAGCTAGCCTCAAGTTTTGATTTTAAATATAGTTCAATAAACATGAAACACAGAAAATGTTCAGTTTACCCATTTTACGTGAAAAGTTGATTTTTAAACTTCTGGTAAAACTATTTACTTTATAAAAACAAAAGATTTCTTGAAATTTGTCTTTCTATTACACAGAATTTTGGGACTATCTATATATATACAGTTTGGGACTATCTATATATATACAGTTTGGGACTATCTATATATATACAGTTTGGGACTATCTATATATATATACAGTTTGGGACTATCTATATATATATATACAGTTTGGTACTATATATATATATATACAGTTTGGGACTATCTATATATATATATACAGTTTGGGACTATCTATATATATATACAGTTTGGGACTATCTATATATATATATATACAGTTTGACCCAGAACTAAAGAGAATCGAAAGGATTTATAAAATGTCGTTTTCTAATCCCAATCACCCAAATCCGCTGGATATATTTAGTTTTTAATCAAGTAATCATATGGAGCTATTTAAAACTGTTCCCGCATATTTTTTGCAATTTATATATTTTTAAAAGCACTCAGATTTAGGTATTATATTATAAAACCCATTGAAAAATGTTCAAGACAATATTTTGTAGATTCTTTCGATGTATCTGAAGTTCTGGGCTAAACTTTAGTAAATCCAAACAAAGTTTCAAAAATAATACATTTTGGGCCCCGGGTTGACCCTCGTCAGTTACAATATGAACTAATCATCAAAACCCCTCAAAAAATTTTCTAGTAGAATCAAAACAGTGAAACATGACAGTTTTGAAAATATTCACAAAAAAAGAAATTAGAGAAATGATTCATAGAATTTTGTCTCTGTCCAATTACAATCTGATAAGAAATTTTAAGCTCTATGTTCAGTGCATGATCATACCTCTGATAGTTCCAAGTCTCATCTCAGCTATCGGTCAACTGGATCTCAGGTAGGCAAGGATCATCTAAGGTCGTCTTTCAAAATAAAATGTTACATTTGTATTTATAGACCTTTTCAAAATGTTATCATCTATGGTCGTCTTCCGAAACAGATGAATTTCTTCATTTGCATTTTAGAGTTTTTCAAAATATGATCTGTCGTATGCTTAGGTTTGAAAATATCTTACATTTTTCTATTCACTCTTACTGTAAACTTTGATTCCTTAAAAGAATAATCATTTACCTGAGATATCTTTATTGTTTATGTACAAATTGTTCAACCCCGTCAACACTCCACAAGTTGTGAGTTTGACTAAGCAAAATAATACTTATAAATTTATAGCTGAGCCAGAATTTCGTAAATTCTATCATACCTAAAGAAAATGTTATTGATAAAGACGACGTTAATGTTTTTTGTTTTTATAAATGTTATTGATAAAGACAACGTTAATGTTTTTGTTTTTATAAATGTTATTGATAAAGACGACGTTAATGTTTTTGTTTTATAAATGTTATTGATAAAGACGACTTTAATGTTTTTTGTTTTACAAATGTTATTGATAAAGACGACTTTAATGTTTTTTATTTTTATAAATGTTATTGATAAAGACGACGTTAATGTTTTTTGTTTTACAAATGTTATTGATAAAGACAACTTTAATGTTTTTGTTTTTATAAATGTTATTGATAAAGACGACGTTAATGTTTTTTGTTTTACAAATGTTATTGATAAAGACGACTTTAATGTTTTTGTTTTATAATGTTATTGATAATGACGACGTTAATGTTTTTTGTTTTTAAAAATATTATTGATAAAGACTACTTTAATGATAACTTCTTTCCTTTACTCTTTTTAACAAGTTTACGCCTATTTAAACATCAATGTTTAATTTACTAAATGACTTATGATTAAAGCCTAAGTCTGAAAACAGCAAATGTGCCAATCAAATAGCTGTACACTGAACACTGTACAGGGTCTCTGGAAAGATTGGTAGTAGAGCAGTACTGTACTATCTTACAACTACATTTATAGCTGTATCACTGGGAGTTGTACTGACAATTACAATAAGGTATGTTTTTGGTTTTAGATCAAAATTTCAAATACAGATTTTTTTTAAAAAGATTTTGTTTTAATTTTATGATTAAGCATGAAAAAAAACAGGAAAAAATAGTTACCACTAACTTAAAAATACAAAATGATTATTGTCTACTGCAGACCTCTTATAGTTACCACTAACTTAAAAATACAAAATGATTATTGTCTACTGCAGGCCTGGTATAGTTACCTCTAACTTAAAAATACAAAATGATTATTGTCTACTGCGGACCTAGTATAGTTACCACTAACTTAAAAAATACAAAATGTTTATTGTCTACTGCAGACCTGGTATAGTTACCATTAACTTGAAAATACAAAATGTTTATTGTCTACTGCAGACCCGGTACAGTTACCATTAACTTAAAAATACAAAATGTTAATTGTCTACTGCAGGCCTGGTATAGTTACCACTAACTTAAAAATACAAAATGTTTATTGTCTACTGCAGGCCTGGAATCGGCGGTAATGAGGAACAAGTAAAATCGGCGACTGGACGAAATTCTACTACAGGTTATTAATCAATAAATCAATTAATTAATCAATCAATTAATAACTCATCTAATCATTTAATCAATTATCTATAAAATAAGATAAAGTTTATTGCTGTTTAGCTTGCTCACAACAGCACATAAATTCTTATCATTACAGGCAGAAAAAAAGAAAACAAGCTGAAAATATTTGAAGGGAATGAAAACGTAATTTCAAGAAGAGGAAATTTTCAAAATTAAATAATTTTAAACTAGAACAACAGCAATATCTTACAATATTTACATTACTTTGTGGACTATGGGCATACTCCTCGGCTTCTTAGAATAGAAGTCTATCTCCCCAAAATAACCTGTTTTTAAAAGAAATTATGTATGTGCTTCCTTTTAATACATAATTCCTCATAATTGGAGAAATGTTAAAATGTATCTACAGAATCTACGTTTGATGATTTGACCCAATAATTTGTAGTGGATACTCTGCTGGATCTATTAAATGTATCTATATTTATTGTAGTGGATACTCTCCTGGATCTAGTATATATATCTATTTATATTGTAGTGGATACTCTGCTGGATCTATAAAATGTATCTATATTTATTGTAGAGGATATTCTGCTGGATCTAGTAAATATATTTATATTTATTGTAGTGGATATTCTGCTGGATCTAGTAAATATATCTATATTTATTGTAGTGGATACTCTGCTGGATCTAGTAAATATATCTATATTTATTGTAGTGGATACTCTGCTGGATCTAGTAAATACATCTATTTATATTGTAGTGGATACTCTGTTGGATCTAGTAAATATATCTATTTATATTGTAGTGGATACTCTGCTGGATCTAGTAAATATACCTATATTTATTGTAGTGGATACTCTGCTGGATCTAGTGATGAACTGCTTTCCTCCCAACCTAGTGCAGGCCACTACCCATCAGTACAGGACAGAGATACTATATCCAGGGAATATACAAAGGTAGCAGAAAGTTCCAACAACAGATAACTATATCGTACAAATCTCAGCAATTTTCTTATGTATTTCTGTATAATTCTAAATTTGTCTTGTTTTATTACATTTTTTTTCTTGCTCTAGAAATTAATTTTCTTGTTCTAGAAATTATTTTCTTGCTTTAGAAATTATTTTCTTGCTTTAGAGATTACTTTTCTTGCTCTAGAAATTATTTTTCTTGTTCTAGAAATTATTTTCTTGCTCTATAGATTATTTTTCTTGTTCTAGAAATTAATTTCTTGTTCTAGAAATTATTTTTCTTGTTCTAGAAATTATTTTTTGCTCTAGAAATTATTTTCTTGCTCTAGAGATTACTTTTCTTGTTTTAAAAAAAAATTTTTTTGCTCTAGAAATTATTTTCTTGTTCTAGAAATGAATCAGACACGGGAAGTACTCTTGACCCTGAAGAAAAACTGACCTGGGAAATGTCGTCTTCCTGGAACCGTTCCACGAATATCCTTGGACTGGTTATATTCAGTTGTGCTACAGGGATCGCTATATCTCTTTCAGGTAAAATTTATCTAAATTTACAAACAAAAAAAGAGAATTCTTATTTCCAATTTCTGAAAACGAAAACAGTTTTCGTTTTAGACATCTCACTAGAACATCTTTTTCTCTACAGTACTTTTAAACTGCAGAGAAAGACGACATGGAACAACATGCGAGTTTATTTGAGGTTGTCGTAACTGTAATCAAATAGTTTTATAAACAGCTTAAAAATCAATTTATGAAATGGGTCAGTCTACTGTGGTACACTGCATACTTGTTGTGTTTTCCCAAGAAACATATCTCTCCGCCATAGAAACTGTCAAACTATGTCGACAGTTCCTACTATTTCCTACATCTACTTCGATGTCAAACTTCCTCTGAATGCATTTGGGCAACTAGAGGGGGGGGGGCGAACCGAGTTTCGCCTCCGTCCTCAGCAAATTTCGCCCCCCCCCCCTCTATTGACTCCAGCAAGATCAAATTTTGTCAATAAAGAAAAAAAACGTACTATTATCTCGTTGTCGACAGAAAGAATGGCAAATATTCTTAATTTATCTTCTCTAAAAAACATATTTGTAACAAAACCTGACAACGTAAGAAGAATAACAAGAATGCAGACTATAAGAGGAAAACAGGGTAAGCCACTTACTGGCAAACAAGGACGGAGGGACTTAGATTATTATGGCGTATGGACAGACGAAATACTGCCAGAAACTACTTAAAAATTAGGACTGAACAGACCTACGATTAAGGGACTATGTATGACTATATATGACTATATATGACTATACATGACTATATATGACTATACATGACTATTTATGACTATATTTGACTATATATGACTATATATGACTATATATGACTATATATGACTAGTGGATGCATTACAAAAAATTGCTGTAGAATGTAATTGAGGACTTTATATACATAGTTAATATGACTAAGCCAGGGACTAACAGACACTAAGAAATACATGAAAAGACACTAGAAGAACCAAATTTTTGGCCCTTTGCGCACATGTCGTTCATTTTAAAGCTTTTGGAATTCTATTTTTTAACGCAAGAACAAGCCATGGATAATATAAAAATTTGGTATATTATTGAGCACAGAGCCAATCCTCCAACAATTAAAAAATGCTGTTTTTTACTTAAAATCCTGAAATTGCAGCGTTTTTTTTTAAACTTTCTTATTGCACTTGAATATTTGAATATTTGAAATAATAACTTGAGTTTATCAGTCGTCTTCCTAATCCCACTGTACTGTTCTGTAATCCCACTGTACTGTTCTTTAATCCCACTGTACTGTTCTTTAATCCCACTGTACTGTTCTTTAATCCCACTGTACTGTCCTTTAATCCCACTGTACTGATCTTTAATCCCACTGTACTATTCTGTAATCTCACTGTACTGTTCTGTAATCCCTCTGTACTTTTCTGTAATCCCATTGCACTGTTCTGTAATCCCACTGTACTGTTCTGTAAGTGTACTGTTTAAGGTGAAGATGGAAAACCGTTTCTCAAATTCTGCACTTCTGTCAGGTACATTAGACATATAGCATTGTTATGTACAACTTAACATTAGTTATGTACATTTTTAAAAACAAAATCAATTGCTAATTTTGTTTTTAATCGACTTTTTGGGCTGGGATCTCACAAAGTAGCTTACGCAAAATTGTATAAATTTAATGACATAGCAAGTTTAATTTACTCCTTTATAGTATATTCATGTCAAAATATCTAGTCACGTGATAATATAGGACTGAATTCACTGAATTCCCATGTTTATTGGGACACCCTGTATATATCTAGTCACGTGATGATGAAACTGACTGGATGGATTATCTATATAATATATATATCTAGTCACGTTATGATGAAACTGACTGGATAGATTATCTATATAAAATATATATCTAGTCACGTGATGATGAAACTTACAGGATGGATTATCTATATGATATATATATATCTAGTCACGTGATGATGAAACTGACTGGATGGATTATCTATATAATATATATATCTAGTCACGTGATGATGAAACTGACAGGATGGATTATCTATATAAAATATATATCTAGTCACGTGATGATGAAACTGACAGGATGGATTATCTATATAAAATATATATCTAGTCACGTGATGATGAAACTGACTGGATGGATTATCTATATAAAATATATATCTAGTCACGTGATGATGAAACTGACTGGATGGATTATATATCTGGCTCCTATAGGAGTTTGCTTCCTTATAGCAGGAGAAATCCTTCATATGAACAGTATTTTAGGTAATTACTGAAAACAATTAGTTATTGTGGACAATTGTTAAACTACAGGGTGTCCCACAAAATATGACATGAGAAAAGACGTGAAGGTAGTCGTGAAAAAATGATAAAAAATTATGATTATTATTTAAAGATCTTTACTTTTATACCTTGAAAAGTGAATGCCGAACATTTTTTTTCAAGGTCAAAGACGACCTTCCAGTATATTTTTAACTGTCATGTTTCGTGGGACACCCTGTATATTAATGAGACTGATGGAACACATGTTAATACTGATTAAAAACCGTTCAGAGAGAATTCACTTCATTTTTTTAAATTCATAAAAACCGTTTAGGACTTTGTAATTTAAACAATCCACATGATCCTTTTTATAAAAAAGAGATATAAGTTGCAAAAACCAAATCCTCAGCGATAATTCATAATTAAAAGAAAAAAGATGGAAAAGACGACAAATATTCCTTAGTTTTCTGGTTCTTACTGCTCTACATCATTATATAAAACCTTCTCAAAGATGTTGCACCAAATAGCATTACATAGAATAAACATATTTAAACTATGTATATATAGTTTGAAATGTAATCATGGGGACCAATACAAAAAATTCTTCCAGAAGTTTATTTTTCATATTTTCAGACGAGTTGGTGAAACTCGGCTGGTATCTCTTAGTTGTAATTCTAGGAATCTCCTTGCAGGTTACAATACTTTTAGTTTACAATTCTATGACTCTCCTTGCAGGTTACAATACTTTTAGTTACAATACTAGGCATCTCCTTGCAGGTTACAATACTTTTAGTTTACAATTCTAGGCATCTCCTTGCAGGTCACAATACTTTTAGTTACAATACTAGGCATCTCCTTGCAGGTCACAATACTTTTAGTTACAATACTAGGCATCCCCTTGCAGGTTACAATACTTTTAGTTACAATTCTAGGCATCTCCTTGCAGGTTACAATACTTTTAGTTACAATTCTAGGCATCTCCTTGCAGGTTACAATACTTTTAGTTACAATTCTAGGCATCTCCAATTGCAGGTTACAATACTTTTAGTTACAATTCTTGGCATCTCCAATTGCAGGTTACAATACTTTTAGTTACAATTCTAGGCATCTCCTTTCAGGTTTCAATACTTTTAGTTACAATTCTAGGCATTTCCTTGCAGGTTACAATACTTTTAGTTACAATTCTAGGCATCTCCAATTGCAGGTTACAATACTTTTAGTTACAATACTATGCATCTCCTTGGAGGTTACAATACTTTTAGTTACAATTTTTGCATTGTACAATTATTATATTACAACTTTTTTGGGATATATTGAAAATTTCTTAAATTAATTTATAAAGCGTCACTTCACACGACATTTTTTAAACCTTCTCTCAAACAGATGTCTAGAAAAGTGACTTGTACGGTTTTATTTTACAGAAAGAATGCAGTAAAACGTAAGAATTAAACACTCTCCCGACAAAAAAAAACGACAATAATTTCATCATTGTTAATTAAACGGTCGTGTTTCTGCAAAATATTGGACGATTTTGCAAATATCACAGAGTACAGACAATTCTTGGTACTTTTTCTAATTCAAAATACAAAAGTTTGACGACTAGTTTTCTTTAATGAATGCCATTTTTTTGGCGCAAAGTTTAAACTAAAAACTATGTCACACAAAAAAACTAACCAAAAAATATATTTTCTTTAAAAATAATTTTCCAAAAAGATTTAACTTTTATTTTTTAGGGTGGAGTTATTTTGCCTTTAATATATACATTAATCACACGATCTCTTCCCTTCTCCTTCATAGGTATTCTACAGTGATTACCAGATAACTCTGGAACAGGAAGACGACTTTTAGAAACAAGTTATTAATTTAATTTATACATAGCAATTTTTTAGTGTAAACAGACCCATTCCACTAAATTAGTAAAACTATTTGCTTTGCAACAACATCAAATAATTTAAATTATTTATATAATGTCGTCTTACTATTCTGTTGTTTTCTGGTTATCACTGTATGCTTTTCATGTCTTTTACAGACGACTGTTTATTCAATTGCTATGATTTTTAAGAGAGCAATAATATGTAACTAGAAATTGTACACAAACCCCCTTTCACTTAATATGTTGAATTTCAGCCTACCATGGTAAAACTGTTTGTTTAAAATTACTTAAAATTGATGCAGGGCTACACAATAAGGATGAGACTGTAAAGACGACTTAAAATTCCTAAAATATGACGATCCCAAGGTTCAAATATGTCTTCTGCCCTAAATATAACCTTTTAATGGCTTACTATATGATTCGGCAAGCAGAGAAAAAGGTTTACAGTTGCAGTGAATCATATATACAAGAAAATAGACTGTATAAACTCTGTACAGTAGTCTCTGAAGTCTCATCCTTTGTGGGTAACCCTGTATAAGACTGTCAACTTCCTAATCCACATGTTTATAGGTCCCACCAGCTGTACAAAGACACAAAATAATATTATATTTTATCATATGTTAGGAAAGATGGGTCCTGCTTTAGCTACTGCATTTGGTACAGCATCAAGCTCTGCTACTCTTCCTGTTACAACAAGTAACCTGGAGGTACATAAACATTACATACAGTACTATTATCTATATATTGTCATCAGCATCAAGCTCTGCTACTCTTCCTGTTACAACAAGTAACCTGGAGGTACATAAACATTACATACAATACTATTATCTATATATTGTCATCAGCATCAAGCTCAACTACTCTTCCTGTTACAGCAAGTAACCTGGAGGTACATAAACATTACATATCTATTATCTACTGATTGTACTCAGCATCAAGCTATGCTACTCTTCCTGTTACAAGTAACCTGGAGGTACATAAACATTACATAGTACTATTATCTACATATTGTACTGTTTCAACAAGTAACCTGGATGCATAAACATTACATAGTACTATTACCAACATATTGTACTCAGCATCAAGCTCGCTACTCTTCCTGTTACAACAAGTAACCTAGAGGTACATAAACATTACATAGTAACTATTATCTACATATTGTACTGTCACTAAGTAACCTGGAGGTACATAAATATTACATAGTACTATTATCTACATATTGTACTCAGCATCAAGCTCTGCTACTCTATTATCTACATATTGGACTGTCACGTTTTATTTATTTGCATTTATTCGAATTACTAGTTCCAGATCCGAAGAATTGCGAATGAATCGATCATTTTGGTTGTCAACTTAAATCTCGATATAATAACATTTTTCACTGAAAGCAATAAAGGTTTTATCCGATTTTGGCAAAAGCAGACTTTTTGATTAATTTAATCTGCTTGAGGTTGGAATATTTCGAGTTTAATCTACTCAAAATACAAAAGATGCCAATTGGTGTTTTCTGAACGGACTTAGAAATGATTTGAAATCGAAAGTTTCGACACAATTTTTTTAAAAATAATTATTTTTTAAATAGAATGGAAACAAGATTGATCCCCTCATATCTCGGTTTGTTCTTCCAATTGGAGCAACAATAAACATGGACGGTACTGCGCTATACGAGGCGGTGGCCGCCATCTTTATCGCACAGCTGACAGGTAAACTTTCAGAACATCTGACAGATACCTTTAGAACAGCTGACAAGTACAATTTTAGAACATCTGACAGGTACATTTTTAGAAAAGCTGACAGGTACATTTTCAGAACAGCGGACAAGTACACTTTAGAACAGCTGACAGGTACATTTTTAGAACAGCTGACTGGTACATTTTTAGAACAGCTGACAAGTACATTTTAGAACAGCTGACAAGTACATTTTAGAACAGCTGACAGGTACTTTTTCCCCGTGAGTGAAATTGATCCAGTTATTAATAGAAAAACATGGATATTTCCATGTTTATGCCAAGGCAAAAGTTTAAACGGATTTTATGTCGTAAAATTAATGGTTTAAAGGCTGGGACAGTACTTCAAATAAACCGAAGTTTTCAGTGATTGAAATTCCCTTCAAGACAAACAAATCTGTACAAATACAAAAAACAGGCTTTAGGAAAATTGATAGAAATTTGCATTAGCAAAAAATAATTGGGATAGTTTTCATTTTTGGAAAAGTCCTGAAACCTTGAAATTAAATATTTTTTTTTGAGAATAAGATTATGAAAAGCAAAAGCTAAGTAATTATGAAAACTAAAGTCAGCAGTCAGCATGCTGAAAATACCTAATCAATATGCTTAAAACTTTGCACTTTGTAAATACAAAACTGTACAAAAAATCAAAACTTTAACCAACATATTATTAATATTATTGTTTGTAGGTTCAAATGTGTTATTTTGCAGGTATGAATCCCAGCCTAGGGCAGATCATCATAATCTCAATAACATCAACTGCAGCAAGTATTGGAGCTGCGGGTATTCCTCATGCAGGTTCCTATTTATATAAAATTGCCATGTATTTATTTTACTCTTTGTGAGGCCCTCAAAATTGTTCCTTCAAAATAGCGCGCTCTCAATAGTGCGTCCTAACTTTGTGCCCTCTCTGTGCGTCCTCATTAATAGTGTTTAATTATCTAAAAACTGCGTCATACATACTTTACAACATAATTGTTTTTATATTGTAGGTTTGGTAACACTTGTAATGGTGCTGGAGACCGTAGGTCTTCCTAGTGAATCCGTTTCTATAATCATGTCTGTTGATTGGTTGGTAGATAGGTTCAGGTAGGTCTGTTGACTGGTTGGTAGATAGGTTCCGGTAGGTTTGTTAACTGGTTGGTAGATAGGTTCAGGTAGGTCTGTTGACTGGTTGGTAGATAGGTTCAGGTAGGTCTGTAGACTGGTTAGTGGATAGGTTCAGGTAGGTCTGTAGACTGGTAGATAAATACAGGTAGGTCTGTAGACTGGTAGATAGGTTCAGGTAGGTCTGTTGACTGGTTGGTAGATAGGTTCAGGTAGGTCTGTAGACTGGTAGATAGGTTCAGGTAGGTCTGTGGACTGGTAGATAGGTTCAGGTAGGTCTGTAGACTGATAGATAGGTTCAGGTAGGTCTGTAGACTGGTAGATAGGTTCAGGTAGGTCTGTGGACTGGCTGGTAGGTTCAGGTAGGTCTGCAGACTGGTAGATAGGTTCAGGTAGGTCTGTAGACTGGTAGATAGGTTCAGGTAGGTCTGTAGACTGGTAGATAGGTTCAGGTAGGTCTGTTGACTGGTTGGTAGATAGGTTCCGGTAGGTCTGTTGACTGGTTGGTAGATAGGTTCAGGTAGGTCTGCAGACTGGTAGATAGGTTCAGGTAGGTCTGTAGACTGGTAGATAGGTTCAGGTAGGTCTGTTGACTGGTTGGTAGATAGGTTCAGGTAGGTCTGTTGACTGGTTGGTAGATAGGTTCAGGTAGGTCTATGGACTGGTTGGTAGATAGGTTCCGGTAGGTCTGTAGACTGGTAGATAGGTTCAGGCAGGTCTGTAGACTGGTTGGTAGATACGTTCAGGTAGGTCTGTAGACTGGTAGATAGATTTAGGTAGGTATGTAGACTGGTAGATAGGTTCAAGTAGATCTGTAGACTGGTAGATATGTTTGGGTAGGTCTGTAGACTAGCATAAATGTTAAGGTAGGCATGTAGACTAGTAGATAGGTTCAGGAAGTTCTGTAGACTGGTAAATAGGTTCAAATAAGTCTTTAGACTGGTAAATAGGTTCAGATAGGTCTGCAGACTGGTAAATAGGTTCAGATAGGTCTGCAGACTGGTAAATAGGTTCTGATAGGTCTGCAGACTGGTAAATAGGTACAGATAGGTCTGTAGACTGGTAGATAGGTTCAGGTAGGTCTGTAGACTGGTTGGTAGATAGGTTCAGGTAGGTCTGTAGACTGGTTGGTAGATAGGTTCAGGTAGGTCTGTAGACTGGTTGGTAGATAGGTTCAGGTAGTTCTGTAGACTGGTAGATAGGTTCAGGTAGTTCTGTAGACTGGTAGATAGGTACAGGCAGGTTTGTAGACTGGTAAATAGGTTCAGTTAGGTTTGTAGATGTGTAAAAAGGTTCAGTTAGGTTTGTAGACTTGTTAATAGGTTCATATAGGTTTGTAGACTGGTAAATAGGTTCAGTTAGGTTTGTAGACTGGTTAATAGGTTCAGATAAGTTTGTAGACTGGTAAATAGGTTCAGTTAGATTTGTAGACTGGTTAATAGGTTCAGATAGGTCTGTAGACGGGTAGATATGTTCGGGTAGGTCTGTAGACTGGTAGATATGTTCTGGTAAGTCTGTAGACTGGTAGATATATTCAGGTAGGTCTGTAGACTGGTAGATAGGTTCAAATAGATCTGTAGACTGGTAGATATGTTCGGGTAGGTCTGTAGACTAGCATAAATGTTAAGGTAGGCATGTAGACTAGTATATGAAATATATTTCCCTATTGCAATTTATTCATATTCAACAATAGGTTCAGGTAGTTCTGTAGACTGGTAGATATGTTCGGATAGTTCTGTAGACTGGTAGATATGTTTGGATTGGTCTGTAGACTGGTAGATATGTTTGGATAGTTCTGTAGACTGGTAGATATGTTTGGATAGTTATGTAGACTGGTAGATATGTTTGGATAGGTCTGTAGAAAGTTAATGAATTTATAACAGATAAAAAGTAAAACTTGAAAAGAAAATAATCATAAAATGGATCCATGCCTTAATTTTTGTTCCAATGCTACTTTTTTTATCAGGACTGCTGTAAACGTTTTGGGAGACAGTTTTGGTGCTGCAATAGTTGCACATCTCTGCAAAGACGACATTCTTAGGGTAAGCACAAATTAAATTTTTTCATCTTACATTTAACATTTGAAGCTATACATATTTCCGCTGAAAACAATTTAAAGTTTTAAATTAAATTCACAAAAATATTTTGTTTGCTAATTGCTTTTCAAGGATATTAAACATAATTATTTATTTGTGAAGGTGAATGGAGGTGTCGAGCTTGATGACCTATATAAACCTGATCAGATAGACGGGGTTGAAGGAGAGGTAGAGGAAGGAAAGGAACTACTTCTAGTACACAACTTACAACAAGAGAAGGAAGAGGTAGACTGATTTAAAAGAAAATATAATATCAAATAATAATCAATAAATTTTAGACTTTTAAAACAATTTAAGACATTTAGACAATTTTATTCAATTTTAGAAAATAATATTTTGTCTTTGTTTCAGAAAAGAGAAAGTTTCAGTGCTCACACTTCTAGAAGTAGATCTAAATGTGTTCACATGTAGATCTGTACTAGACTAGTCTCACAGATTTAAAAACTTTACAATCGAGTGTAGAGTCAGAATTTCAATTTTTATGTAATTCCTATTTCAATTTTATGAAATATAAATATTTGCTTAAAAACTTATGAATACTTGGTACATGAATATATATATAGGAAAATGTTATTCATAATAAATGTGCATAACATTTATCTATATAATAAAACAAGACATTCGTATATATATATGTTGCGTAAAGCCGGCCAAACTGCTGGACCGATTGGGCTGAAATTTTGTGTAGACACTCTTAAAATTTTTTTTTCTTCAAAATTTTTTTCTACGGGCAGCGCCGGGTATTTCAGCTAGTATCCAATAGAGTGCAGCCTTAAGTTAGAAACGTGCTTACAAATCTTATTCTTTGTAATCCAAAAACTTGACTATTGTGTTACATTTTTGTTTTTACAATAGAATATTTTATTTTTATTTTTTTTTTCCCGAGAAATTTGTATTTATTTGCTCGCCGCCGGTTTTCTTTTTGTGTTGTGGTTTTGTTCCGGTCAACGAGTTCATTCTTTTACACGTCTTTCCATTATATGATTACTTCCATATCCCCTTCTTTTTCAGTTCAACAAGCTTTTCATACAGACATATGAAAAATCCATTAAATTGAAGAGGGCTAAAATTTAAACAATTTTTGTTCTAAATATTTAGCTGTTAAATTGTAGAAATGAATAATAAGTTAAACATCCTTTTTATTTTTTCTACTTATTAAGAATTAAACAAAAGATATTTTTTATTCGCATTTATTAAAAAAATGCTTACATTTCTTGTCTTTTGCTATAGAACAATGTTATGTCTAATATTCTCATCAATTTCATCATTGACTAGTGTTCTTTCAGTTGGTTTAACAGTAGGAGGGGCAGGAGCTTCTTCAACAATAACATCATTAGATTGTGATTTTTCAGAAGCTTCAACATTGGCTTCCTCAGCAACGTCAATCAAAGCATCAACATGCACCTCTTGTATTTCATCAACTACATCAGGTTGAATGTTATCTTGAATCTTGTTTATTTCCTCTGTCATCTTGTTTAAGACATCAGCAATATTATCTTCTTCCTGTTCTGTGGCAGGAACATCGTCATCATGATCAAGTGTGACCTGGACCTCTTCTGTTATGCTGTTACCAGATGTTGATACTGCTGCTATGGTGTCTTTAATAAACTTGGAAACTGTGGCTAGACAGTTTTCCACATGATCTTTGGCACAGCTGACTACTGGGTTAACAGATTTAGAAACAGTTGATAGTGCATCAGACAGCTGTACAGATGCTGTTACAAATGTATCAACAATTATCTCTATTCCTTTGGTTGACATTTCTCTAAGATTATCAACAGACAGTGCTGTACCTAAAACAAAATATTACATAAAACATTTTAGAAAACCAGAGCTTTAAAGGTTGAGTAATCTTAAAGATACAACACATTTAGGAAAAAGTCCTTTTCATCTGTTGTGATATCCTAATTAATTTTGATAAAGTAGAGGTAACTCTTTCTATAAACAGAGCCCGCGATTTATAAGATTCAGGACAATATGACTGAGGAATAACCTGCAGTTGGAACTTATTTACGGCTTGGGCTTGATTGGATTTAAGTTGCTTCTTATCTTGCTTAAAGGGAGTGACCGGCAATGTAAGGTAGATGAACTGAGTATGCAGTGTTCTGGAAAACTTCTTTTGGATTCATTTGAGACAAATTAAACTTTTTAAAGATCTGTAAATCCTAAGTTTGAGCGCAAATTCGACGTTCAAAACTCCTACTTTGGGGGAAGATACGTTTTCAGAATTAGTTTTTTTAAATAACGACAACGAAAAATAAAATTAAAAATTATACAGTAATCTAATTAGATGGTTAGGAACATATTTCTCAAATGAAATTTGTCAATAAACCAATGCTAGAATAGATTATTTCGTTTTCATTATTATATTGAATTTCTTATTTTCTTTAAATTTATTCGAAAATTTCTTCAAATTCTTCAAATGTCGTCTTTTCAATAATAATTCTAGAAAATCTGCGAAAATCTTTGTGAATAATAAGAAACCAGAATAATGAGAAAATAGAAACTAATAATTGAACAAGATTACTTATTTTCGATGATAAGATTCATTTTTATTTTCTCAACATGTTCCTATACATGACGTCTGTAGTTTATTGTAGAACTTTTTTACTCTTTATGTCGTCGTTATTTAATAATTTTAAAAAAACTAACTCTGAAAACGTATCCACCCCCAAAGATACAATTAACCATAATACAAAAAAAAATCAAAGAAATAAGTATATATATCATATTCATTCATTGACCATAAAAGGCGTTCATGGAAACTGAATAAAAATACAAAAAAATGGAGAAAAATTTTAAATATTGTCTACACGTCTAAGATGAGGTTTTACCTAGAAATGATGGCATGAGATACTCTGCTCCAAGCTCGAACTCTGGCAGCTTTAATGAAGACAGATCTTTCAATCTTTCAACTAAAAACACGAATTATTAGATATTTACAACAAGAAATAACATGATTAAGATTAAAAGTAAGAAGTTGTGGTGTTAATTAAAGAAAAAGCTAGATCTCTTCAAATTTGAAAAAAACATATATTTTTCTTACAGATAAATGTTTTAAAATGTTAATGCCCCTCTTTGATTGAAGAGACACTAATATAATCGTTGTAAACAATATACAATACATATATCATCAAATTTGGTAATTTTTGGCAAACTACCTACGTGGAATTTAACTGTATTTCTAAGTTCTAATAATAATCTAAGATTTACACCCTCAGGGTGCAAAGATATAGGGATCAGAAAATTTTTGTTTATGACGTTACAGTTCCTTAATAAACCTACTTATTATTGTTCCTTAAACCGATTAAAATTACAATTATATAATTATTTGATTAAAATATACCTATGGATTCTTGTACTTCCGAAAATGCTGCAGGAATAACATTGGAATCAGAATTTAGCAGAAACATATAAACACCACACACGCTACCTAAGAATGTAAGAATAATTTTCGAAATATTTTGAATGTCGTCTTTCTGAATACCTACTTGTAAGAAGAACGAATATGATGAAAGCGTAACATAATTTGCTGAACATGTTGCGCTCTTTCGGAGCAGGCAGATCATCAACTATTAATTGCGGCTTTTTCCTTTTATCGATTGGCGGATTTTTGGGTTCAAGTAAAATGTCGTCTTCCTTCTTCCGGCCAGCAGCTGACTTTCTCTTCTTCCGTGTTGTAATATCTCCGGACATTTTAGATTTTCTGAAGAAAAAAATACAGTTACTACAGGGTGTCCTAATAAACATGGGAATCCAGTGACGAATTCGATATTGTCTTTTTATATAATTCTTTGATTTAGTAAAGTGATACCTTCAGAGAAAGCTGCAATCTGTAAGAGTTTCGTCTGCTATGTTCACATTTTTGTTTATGTTTTGACTGCATACGGTTGTACTTAGTAAAACAAGAAAATTACAGTTTACAATCAGAGTAAATTTGTCCGTCTTCACTGTTCATCTTGCGGAGACATTATAGACACAACTTTACAGCCATTTACCGTTTTCATTAAATAAACTCTAGCAGACATAATAATGTTAAGGCTTTTGAAATAAGGTATTACAATGCTAATTCATAACAAAGACGATATCGAATTCGTCACTAAATTCCCATGTTTTTTGGGACACCCTGTAGAGTGAAAACTGTGCAATAGAAAGACGGCATTAAATCAATACTGAAATGTAAGTGATGCTGTTATTAAGCAAACTGTTTTACTTGTATAATGTATAAAATCACTTATTTAGTGAAATGGGTCTTTTTACATTGCACAATTGCTGTGTCTTATGCTCTTTTGACTATTTAAAATCATAACTTGCGTCTTAAAGTCGTCTTCCTAATCCAGAGTTTTATAACTGTATACAAGAAACTATTCAAAATATGAGAACATAATCAAAATCTAAATAAGTGTTAAAAAATTATATACTGGGTTACCCACAAAAGATGAGACCTCAGAGAAGACTGTACAGCATTTATACTGTCCGTTCACTTATATTTATTATTCTCTAAAACCGTGAACTCGGTCATCTTCTTATTAATCATTAAATAAGCTATAAAAATATTATATAGGCATAAGACTTAATTTAACCTGGGAATTGTCAAATTAAAGAGTTTTTACAATCTCATCCTTTGTGTCTAACCCTGTACGAAATAATTTAGGTTTATTTATTANGTTAGGTAGATGTATTATATGAGGTAGGTAGATGTATTATATGAGGTATTTTAGATGTATTAAAATGAGTTAGGTAGATGTATTAAATGATGTATGTAGATGTATGGGTCACCTTAGTCTCACATGGAGTGAACGACCGGCCCTTTTCTGACGTGTAGAAGCGTGCAAGCCGCTGCCAGCAGTGAACATGTTGGGGAGGGGGTGGGGGTTGCCAGGAGGTGGGAAAACAGGGAAAAACTGCTTTCTTTTTTTACACATGGAAATAATATATTCCGTGATTTAAGACTAAAAGTAAAATTTGTAAATCAAATTCTTATTGTATACATCATTGTAAAGAAATAACGTTTCAAACACGTTGCTACAGTCTTTTTTTATATATTTTATTTTAAAGGGTTACCCACAAGGTATTAAACTTCAAAGACGACTGTTAGAACATTTTCATTCCTGCTTCCGTATATTTATGGTTCCCTGCAACTGTTAAATCAATATATAAGCTGTTAAATGACTATATTTAAAATAGTTTGAGGTCTTCATTACACTCTTATCCATAATGGGTAACCCTGTACATTCACCTACTTTATGCCCTACTAAACATACCAATTCAAAGATGATCAACTGATATTGAATATGCATTTCCGGCATAAAACGAGACATTTTTATTTTCAAAACAGTGAACAGATATATCCTTGTAAAATATTCCTTTAGAGCAGTTTAAAAACAGTATTTTAAATTTCTGCATTATTTAAACTGTGTACTTTTAGTCGTCTTGTAAACGTTCATGTACAGTGCTTTATGTACATTGTACTTAAAGTGTAAGTACATGGTGCTTAAAGTATATGTACATGGTGCTTAAAGTATATGTACATGATGAAGCTTAAAGTATATGCACATGGTGCTTAAAGTATATGTACATGGTACTTACAGTATATATGTTCATGGTGCTTAAAGTATATGTACATGGTGCTTAAAGTATATGTACATGGTACTTACAGTATATATGTTCATGGTGCTTAAAGTATATGTACATGGTGCTTAAAGTATATGTACATACATGGTGCTTAAAGTATATATGTTCATGGTGCTTAAAGTATATGTACATGGTGCTTAAAGTATATGTACATGGTGCTTAAAGTACACATACATTGAGCTTAAAGTATATGTACATGGTGCTTAAAGTATGTACATGGTACTTAAAATATATGTACATGGTGCTTAAAATATATGTACAAGGTGCTTAAAATATATGTACATGGTACTTAAAATATATGTACATGGTGCCTAAAATATATGTACAAGGTGCTTAAAATATATGTACATGGTACTTAAAATATATGTACAAGGTGCTTAAAATATATGTGCATGGTGCTTAAAATATATGTACAAGGTGCTTAAAATATATTTACATAGTACTTAAAATATATGCACATGGTGCTTAAAAAAATATATGTACATGGTACTTAAAATATATGTACATGGTACTTAAAATATTTGTACATGGTGCTTAAAATATATGTTCATGGTACTTAAAATATATGTACATGGTACTTAAAGTGTATGTACATGGTACTTAAAATATATGTACACGGTGCTTAAAATATATGTACATGGTACTTATAATATGTACACAATACTTAAAATATATGTACATAATACTTAAAATATATGTACATGGTGATTAAAATATATGTACATAGAAACAATTTATTATAAAATCCACTGCAAAATTTCTTTTATCTGGCACGTTTTCATTTTATAAAAATGTGTTGTTTCCAAAATCATTACAAACAATTGATTCTTCATTGTTCTACTCTTTTAAACATCAAGTTTTTTGAAGGAAAAAGTTTTCAACATATTTATTTAATTTGATAATTAATTAAACATTTTCTAGGAATACAAAAATATAAAGTAATTTTTGGCTTTACATGGTTTTACATTTCTTACAATATGATCTGAACACTTAACATTTTCTTACTAAACATAGATCTACAAAACTAAACAATTTAACATACTTAACAGATTAGACAAAAATGGTATAATTTTAAAGAACATATAAACTTTATCGAAAATCTGCTTCTTCTGATTGTGCAGGATTACATATGAGGGCAAGCTGTATGTCCACCTTCCTTATTGCTCGCATCATGATTATAAATGTACCTAACTAGCTTTCCTGAATATAGTTATTAAAAAGGAAAAAAATTATTTGTATAAAGTTTGGAACATTTTACAATGTTGGTAGAAAAAAACAGTGCCGGCCGTTCATTAATTATTTAGTTAAACAGCATTAATTGATAAATATTTTGCTATTAAAGGGAGTGTTCGCAAAAATTAAAGGCGGTATAGGCTTAATGCGATTAAAAAGCGTTTTTGATCGCTGTTAATTTTACTACTATCTGTTGCGTCTACAAGGAGAAAATTGTTAAAGACCGAATAACTTAGCGGCCATACAAATTCAGATAATTGCAACATACAACTTAGACCGTAAAAAATCAATTTAATTTCAAACAAATCATTCAGATATTACAACCTATAGTCATCGATTATCTTTCGCCACATTTTTATATAGTTTTATATTTTATAATATTTTATTTTTTTTAGAAAACGTTTTAACGGATTTCGAAAAAGTGAGTGGTGTGCGGCATTATTAGATAGTTGCGCAAGCGACAAGAGAAATAATCAAATTCAAAACAAATTAATTAAAACATATTAGAAAATACAAACTATAACAAATGTGGCGAAAGATAATCGATGACTACAGGTTGTAATATCGGAATGATTTGTTTGAAATTAAATTGATTTTTTGCGGTCTAAGTAATATGTTGCAATTTTCTGAACTTGTATGGGCGCTAAGTTATTCGGTATGAGACGTCTTTAACAATTTTCTCCTTATAGACGCAACAGATAGAAGTAAGATGATCAGCGATCAAAAGCGCTTTTTTATCGCATTGAGCCTATACCCCCTTTCATTTTTCGCGAACACTCCCTTTAAGTTAAAATGTTCATTAAAGATATGTTCTACGCAATGTTTGCTGTATTATTTACTATGTTAGAACGTGTATGAATCTATTTTTATCAAATAGTTAATAAATGAACGACTTGCGGTATTTTTTACTGATATTTAATACCTCTCAAATTCATTACTATTTTCTGAAATATTGTTTAATAATTATTCTAGAGAACAGAATACTCGCTCCGTTTATAATTTTGTAATCCCTATATATTAGCAATCTGATGATATACCTTTTTAATATTTCAAGTTTTAACTATTTGTGCTAAAATTCATAGTTGGGAATATCAAAGGTCTATACAAAAACAGGTAGCAAAAATATAAGGATTAGAGTAAATGATTTTGTGGCGATGAATCAGTTTGCTTTGCTTAAGAAAGCTGACCCGTTCTCTGATAAATATGGAAAAAAAAAGATTTCTATTTTCAAATTTTAATGATTTAAAAAAGTGTACCTGTTATTTTTCCTTGGCAGAGGGTAGGAATTGAGTAGAGGAGGGTAGGAGGAATTGAGAAGAGGAGGAAAGAAATTAAGTTGAAAAAAAAACGAAAAAAAAACGAAAAAAACCTAACCCTATTTGATACAGATATATATATGAAAAATAATATACGAAAAATGTACAACGTATAGTGAATAATTGTATTGTTTTACTAGATTACCTTTTTCTAAATGTACAGATACATAAAGAAAAGATATTCTAGAAGGCTCCAATCATTTTTAACAAATGGTGAAATCACTAAGTTTACGAACAGAGTAAATACTCTACCTGTAAAAATCGTAGAACACCGACACAGCAAAAAAGGAAAAATATTAAATCATTTTCTGATATTAGTATTTTTCCTTGTTAATGACTCCAAGCAATGTTGCATGAAATAAAAAAATGATTTAGTTTTTATGAAGATGTTTAATAATAAAATCATTATTTGACCTGTACAAGGTTGAATAGTTCTAGGCCACCAGATCATGCTGTCATTAAAGCCCTGATCAATATCATGTCTCCATACACATTCCACAGCTTGATCTGTTAAACAAAATTATCGCGGATTTAATAATCTGTAAATTTATTATAAAAACGTAGAGATCAATATGATTTTAACTTATTTAAAAAAGAGAAAATTCCAAAGGATTTGAGTCTTTGCCACAAACTCTGATTTTCTAATCCCTATATCTTTTTAGTCCAATGTCATAGACCTTAGATATTTCAAACTATGAATTATGTTAAATGAAATAATCCAAGTTTGAAATATAAAAGGGTTACACCTTCAGGTCGCAGAGATAAAGGGAATAGAAAATTTGAGTTTTTGGCAACAACTCAGTTCCTTTGGAAATTAGAAACACTGCTGTAGCAATCTTACGCTCATAGTTGTCCTTCAGAGCAAGAATACTGAAGAATAAGTTTTTTAATTCTCAACAAAAAGTTGGTTGGTCAGAAAATCCAATTGTTTTAAAAAACTGATTCATGCCAAAAACTCTTATTTTTTATCCCTGTATCTTTGCAACCCAATGTCGTAGACTTTTGAAACTTCAAATTATTAATTCTGTAACATCAATAATTCAAGTTTGAAATATCAAAAGTTTACAACGTCCGGTTGCAAAGATATATGAATTATGAAAATTGAGTTGTGGCAAACAAAACACCTAGGGGATCTTACTTTCGAAGATTTTAAGGTCAAGAATGCTCTGGGGCATTCTCCTTTCTGTATAATCTATGAACTAATCCTATTTTTAATTAAAAAGTATCTACCTCGCTGAGGATGAGGCAAATTTCCGTATTCTCCCCAGCTTAGAGTATCCAAGTCTATGTGTCCACTAGAAAATATTCGTAGAATATGTTCCCCTCCTTTACCAACTTGTTTCCCTCCTTTACCAACTGGATCCCCTCCTTTACAACTTGTTCCCCTCCTTTACCAACTGGTTCCCCTCCTTTACCAACTTGTTCCCCTCCTTTACCAACTTGTTTCCTTCCTTTACCGACTTGTTCCCCTCTTTTACCAACTTGTTTCCTTCCTTTACCAACTTTTTTCTTCCTTTACCAACTTGTTTCCCACCTTTACCAACTTGTTCCCCTCTTTTACCAACTTGTATCCTTCCTTTACCAACTTTTTTCTTCCTTTACCAACTTGTTTCCCACCTATACCAACTTGTTCCCCTCCTTTACCAACTTGTTCCCCTCCTATACCAACTGATTCCCCTCCTTTATCAACTTGTTCCCCTCCTTTACCAACTTGTTCCCCTCCTTTACCAACTTGTTCCCCTCCTTTACCAACTGTTTCCCCTCCTTTACCAACTTTTATCCTTCCTTTACCAACTTGTTCCCCTCCTTTACCAACTTTTTCCTTCCTTTAACATCTTGTTCCCCTCCTTTACCAACTTTTTTCCTTCCTTTACCAACTTGTTCCCCTCCTTTACCAACTTTTATCCTTCCTTTACCAACTTGTCCTTTACCAACTTTTTCCTTCCTTTAACATCTTGTTCCCCTCCTTTACCAACTTTTTTCCTTCCTTTACCAACTTGTTCCCCTCCTTTACCAACTGGTTCCCCTCCTTTACCAACGTGTTCCCCTCCCTTACCGACTTGTTCCCCTCCTTTACCAACTTGTTTTTTACCTTTTACCACCTTTTTTTCCCTCTTTTACCAACTTGTTTTCTACCTTTTACGACCTTTTTTCCCCTTAACCAACTGGTTTTTTCAATTTACCAACTTGTTTCCTTCCTTTACCAACAGGTTTCTTCCCTTTACCAACTTGGTTTCAAAGAAGCTTTTTTCAAATTACAAGTTCATACTTAAACAAAGAGAAACTGTTAACTGACAGTTTCTCTTTGTTTCCATATTCATGTGTATCCATGCAGTTTGAAAGCTTGGTAGACATAAGATTGAAAACGAAAGTCGTCTTCATTGTATTGATATATATGATTATGACTGTAGAATACTCTGTATTTACCTTGGCAGTGGGATATCCAGCCGTTGTCCGTGGGGGCATCTGTAGATGATAATATCACCCAGCTCATTGATTCGGTTTGGCCAGATCCGATCAAATTTATACGGTGTTGCAGGCGGCATATCCAAGCACCTTCTCTCTACAGTTGAAGGGATTGAAAACGTTATTCCATGTGAAAAAGCACACGCACAATTCACAACGCTTTTTTCACAAAGTTATTTTTGTTCTGACTATTGATCAATCTTGCTAAAATGTCCAGCAAAAATATATTGATTGAACTAATATGTGTTTAAAAACAAATTGATTGATTTTAAAGGTAAACAAAACGACGATATTTCTCCTTGCCACTTATAAAAAGCTGTTCTTAATCAGGAAAGTAAATCTATTTTTGGAGGGCCACATGGAATTACGTCATAAGTTTCTATAATATAAATCATGTCTTAAAATTAATTTAATTCTTACTAATGCAAGGAACCAGTGTAGTAGGCATTGTCCACCGTTTATTAGGAAGGCACTCATTCTCTAGGAATGGGAAATCTCCATTTTGAAACATGTATCCATTCTTGCATTTATACCTGAAATATGAGTTAAAATGGATTGTTCGCTCATTGGAAAATACTCAAAATATTACCAATTAAAGAAAAGCATTAAGTAGTAATATTTATTGGACCCTGTAAGGGATAAACCCATATTTTTATATTTTAAAATGACGAGTCATCTTTCAGGGTTTATAAACATAATTTCCAGTGATCATGAATTGGCCATGTCCGATTTGCAATGGTACCTTTCAAAAACTTTGTTGGATCAAGCATGATTTAGATATCAATGTTTGTGTTTTAAAACATTAATTTATATTTTCATTTGCAGTTTCTTCGCACAAGGGACTTGCCCATATCTTGCTTCAGAAGCAATGAGAATGTTATAAGAATTGAACACTTTTTAAGCCAGAAAATTTACGTTCTTTCACTTTCTTTAAATGGGCTGGGCATTTAAAATTTAAATGTATTTGAACCATAAATAATGTGCACGAACATCAAGGAACTAATATTAATTAACTTTGAAACCCATTTTCATCCACTAAATTAAGTTTTATTTATGTGATACACTTCATATTTTGAATGATAATGTAGAGTCCAATATGCTATTCTATACAAGTAGTCTAATAAAGATCAGAATATGACTGATCAATTATATTAATGAAGGCCGTATGTGCTTTGAATTTAAAGTTATTTTTTTTTAACCTTCGTCCATTAAAAGAAATATACCTCGTATTCTCAGGATTATATAATCTCAATGCTCCGGGGCCCTCAGGAACTGGTGGGGGTTGGTCAGGACATGGCAGTTCTCAAACAATTAAATGAAAATATATGTTTCATAAAAATCCGTTTTGCAATTGAAACTATTAAACAACTTACTGATACAAGGGGATACAGTCGTCACGTTCCAGTTTCCATCTTCAAGACAAGCTGACACAGTCTGATTAAACCCGTTCTCAAAATACCCCCAGCCTTTCATAGTACACTCATACACTATAATTGTATTATAGGGTCGAGGCTTTCCAACAGTTTCATTCCAGTTCATCTTTGCTGGCCAGTTACTTGGGAGAATGAAAGGCGCAGTACAGTTAATCGCTAAAACAAATGTTGATTGCACATTTCGAAAAGAAATATGTGTTGTAAAATAAATGTGACATATAACAAATCACAAGATTAGGGGTCCTTACTCGTTACTCCATAAGATGGATATGGAAATATAGATACTTTAAGGAAAATTAGTAGAATGCAGAATTATCCTAAGATTTTTTGCCCAAGTTACTTTTCACAAAACCTTGCTCAATTTGCAAGCAAAGGAATTGAATCTTTGACTCAAACTCAAATTTTCTAACTCATATATCTTTGCAACTTGATAGTGTATACCTTTAACATTTCAATCTCAAATTACTTGGTCTCACAAAATTCATAGTTTGAAATTTATATATATAGTTGCAATCATAGGGATTAGAAAATTAGAGTTTGTGGCGAAGACTCAATTCCTTTAAGGCGATTGTGAAACATTTTAAATTTGCTTTTAAAACTGTATCACCTATACAAGCCGGCATAATTGGGGGGTTAGGGAACAAATTATATGAAAGCATTGGTCTCCAATGTCTGTCAGCATCACATAATACATCAAACTTGTTAATATTGGTAATCTGTTCATTGTTGAGACTTGGATTCTCCAGGACATGACCATCAGGACAAGAGTACTGAATCTTCTTCATGAAAATGTTCCAGTTAGGATCAGAACTGTTCCTAGTAGCAGCATCATGAGCAGCTTCTTCAGTATTGTTTGGACTTCTAGGAACTGTTACGTCACAAACAACCGCTAAACATGACGTATTAAGCTTTATATCAGCAAATTAATTTTTCATTTTAGAAATACTTACGAACACATCTTGATGTTTCATTAAAAGAATAACTCCAGGTCCAATTGCTACAGGTTGCCTCAAAGAAAATATTAAAAGAATTATTAAAGACAAAGCCTAAAGGACAGGTGTAGTTTGCTATGAATCCTTCTTGCACTATACCATACACAGCATTGAACTCTTCAGAGCTGTTAGCCATGATAATTTCAACTGTCTCAGTTGTATTATTTGGATCATAAAGCAGGCCTGGCCTATGTGGTCTTTCTCGGTTGGACGATATTTTGTAACTTTGATTAGCGAGGTTTTCTATAGAAAACCAGTTTGAATTGTAGTTTACTTCTTCCGTGTTAAATGTTCCAAACGATGGGACGGGAGGAGGATCTAAACATGAGGGTGCCGGAGGTTCAAAAGGACAATCTTCTACACAGAATCCCCAAGCAGTTATGTTTCCATCTGCATCCAACTCTAAATTTAATTAGAATAAAGGGTTAATTGGACTGCGTACGTAAGGAAAAGGAGGAATAGGATTATATTATAATGTGGGTGTATTGATGCTATTTTTCTTTTTGTTTAAAAACCTCATGAACAACCTAGTTCATATTTAGTTAGGGTTTTAGGACATTATGACATACATACGTAGGTTGAAATGGTTTATATGAGATAGCAATAGTAAAAATGCTTGATTTCAATATTTTTTGAAACAACAATTTGGGCCAACTATACTATTATGAGGGGGAAAAAAATAGCAAACAACTTTGGGAACAAAGGAATTGAGTCTTTGTCACAAACTCTGATTTTCTAATACCTGTATCTTTGCAATCCAATTTCGTAGAAGTTAGATATTTCAAACTATGAATTATGTTAGATCAAATAGCCTAAGTTTGAAATATCAAGGGTTTCCACCATTAGGTTGCCAAGATAAAAGGATTGGAAGATTTGAGTTTGTGGCAAAAACTCAATTCCTTTTTCTGTAAAAAAATACATTTCCATGCAGAAGAACCGTTTGACTTAATTTGGTACATTTAAGTTTCTGTTTCGATAATTAAGAAATTTAAACTAGGTACCAAAATGATAAAAATTTAAGAGATTTTGATGATTTAATTTTTTCTAAATTCAGCTTTTTACAGCTCTGAAAATAATGTTTAAAAGTAACAGAAACTTGTTATTCCACAGCAATTTTTTTCCAGATGACGAATCTTTTAAAATTCTAAAACAGAAAATAATAATTGTAAAAGATATTTTAACCTGTTGGGCACCAGGGTTCGTACAAGTCCTGAGAGCTGCATCGTTTATACTCAACAGTTTTATATGTGAAGGGAAATATGCAGGAGAATCCATCCTTAGTAAAACAAGCTTGGTACTCACAAATACTAGGCAGAGATTTCTTGCAGTCATCACCATATTTGGTCATAATCCTGCCATTTTCAGCCAGGGAAAGACAGCCCTGAATTCAATCATTAGTTAAAAGGAAAGTTTTAATGATTTTAATATCTTACCTGGCCTCCATATCCAGCTTCAGATACTAATACTGATCCAGATATTGACACTTCAATGATATCATTTGATTCAGAGGGTTTGAATGGAATTGACACACTGGTATAGTTATTGAAGGTAACATAAAATTTTGAGTTGTGGCAAGCTATGGTAATAAAGAAATCCATGGTTGACTCAACCTTGTGTCCTACAAGTTCTACTTCAGTATTGTTATTAACAATACCATCTTCTACTCTGGCAAGAGTAAATGAGTTGGCTAGGTTGGCATCAGTAGAGTCTACGCCTCCTTTGTGGAACATCCATCGTAAAGGAATGAGACCCGAAGAGCTTGTTAACTTTATTGTAGGTTTATTAGTATCCAGTCTTTTCAGGACAAATGTTCCGTTCAGGAGAAACATTTCTGATCCAGATGATTGACAGATATCCTGTTTAAACTTCATTTTTATAGTATTTGAAGTTGGATTTTTTACATAGTACCCTGGAAAAAAACATTGTTATGAAAAAATTAAAAAAATTGTAAAGCTAAATAATGTTAAAAAGTAAAAGAAAACTTATTTTATACAGTGAAACCCTTAATAACGAATACATCGATCGAAAGAATTCATCAAATGTTGTATTCTTCACTTTCTGATAATGGAATGTTGCAGATATTTAGTTTTTTAATGAAATGATTATATGGAACTTTTAAAACTGTTCCCTCATATTCATGGCTATTTATTTATTTTCGCAAATACTGAAATTTACGTAATAAAGTATTAAACTCATTGAAAAATTGTCAAGACGACATTTGATAAATTCTTCCGATGTATTCGTTATTAAGGGTTTTACTGTAGGAAAAATAAAAAGGTTGTGAAAATGTATAGAGTAAACCTGATGCAGCTAGGGCAGAAATCCAGAAACGTTCTTTGGAGTAATCTACTATGTCTTCTGGAGTATCAAAATCATTTGTTCGGTCATTCTAAAAAAAGGAAAAAAAAACTTTTGTAATCCCTATATCTCTGCAACGCTATGTTGTAAACCTAAGATATTTTAAACATTCTGTTAGATACATTTATCTCAGATTGAAGTAACCAAGGTTTACAGGTTGCAGAGATATAGGGATAAAAAATTTGAGTTTTGCAACCATTTAATTTCTTTGCACTGAAAATACATTGCTTGATTTCCACATTTCCTGTGGGTCACATCTGATTTTCATTATTAACAGTTAAGTGTGTTGTGATGAGAAATTGCAATATAAAGTTTTTCACTAAGTAAAACCGTGTAGTTATTGTTTCAAATTTGTAGCTGGGCAAGATCACAGTAAACTATTTCATGGTGTAAATGTTGAAATTAACCTATATCTATGTAATTTATTGTACTTCTCTTCTCTCATATATTCTCGATACAAACGCACATAAATAGAAGTAAAGGAATCAAGTTAGATATTTCAAACTATGTTTTCTGTAAGAAAAAGTAATCTAAGCTTGAAATATTTTTAAAGATAAAGGAATTTGAAAATTTGAGTTTGTTGCAAAATTTCAATTCCTTTATTCAAATTCAATCATCATTCAACCTGTTACCACTTAAATTTTTCACATAAACTTCTTTTAAAAACTGATCTACCTTGGTATACCAATTAAAGCCATCCGTTGTACTTCCATCCAACCATACCGGACTGTAAAAATATCTAGTTAAACTCCTTTTATATATATATATATATATATATTTAGTGAATATTTGTATAAATTATGTAGTTTGTAAGGGGGTTGGGTTTGGTTTTTAACTGTTTCCCTCCTTTACTACTAAAATTTAACCAACCACTAGTCACCTGTCATACTGAAGAATTTTCTCTATGGTTTTAATATCTTTAGGAAGTGCTCTCCTTTGGAGGTCATTGGACAAACTTGTACATTGTTTGTCAGAAAATGGCGCAGTCCCTTAAATTATTATTTAAAATTTAAAAGATAAGATTATTTAAAGATTCAAAAGTCAACCCAAAGAAGTACTTATTTCTAAAAAGCCAAAAGTACAACAAAAGTAAATGCTTCAACATTTTTTTTAAAACTTACTTTTCACCTGAAGAAAAATAGTCTTTGAAATATAAAGAACACCTGGCAATTTACTTATAAAAAATTAAAAATCCAGTTTTTTGGCCACCCTTTACATTTTCTTAGTTGATCACCAATCAATAAAAGTATTTTGACTATTAATCCTTAATACCTGATGATCTGGCATAACATGTTCGTCCATCTTTTTCATGAGAATACCTTTCAAATCCAGTTGGACAGGGAGGGGCTAAAAAAACCTTTAATTACCCGAAAGTTTTTTTGCTCACAACTTAAAGAGATTGTTCCCCTGTTTGAAAACACACAAAATTTAAAAAACTTCGACCACAGCTAAGCTATTAAAAGATTTCCTTCAATGAGTTTTCCAGCAAGTAAGTATCACTTTTGTTCTTGAAAAGTTTTGGGTCATTTTGGCACTTTGTAAAGATAGACTTGTGTTAATTATTTCAAAAATTGGGATATTGTGTCCTACATTAGGTGAAAACTGAAAACTCCAATTATTGTTGATTCCAATTTGTGTTACAAAATCAAAAACCAAAAAAATTGTTCATTTAAAAATGAAATAGTAGTGACAAAATACTGTTGACTGATTTTAGGAGTGGACAATTTATAACTGGTTGTTTTCAAAATTATTGCACAAAAAAACTTCAAAAAAAATATCTGTTTTACTTCTTAGCACTGCCTTCAAAATCAAACTTACGTGTCCACTGGCAAACATACTCAAACTTTTCGTCACATGATGTTCCCCTGGGTTTAAACTTTATTCCTCTTTTCAGGAAGGCACAAGAGGAACCTACAAGCTTGGAACCATCTCCTTCATAATCATAGGATGCCGCAGTATATGGGGAGTTATCAGTAAATAAGTCTACTCCTGCTGTCATATTCAATCCGATTATAAGATCACCACTATTCTGCTGGATTAAATATTTCTGAATAAACTTGTACACTCCTTGAGTTTTGACAGGTAAAACAATTCCTCCTCGAATGGCACATGCATGCTTGGCTTCCACTAGAGAGTGCATATCTTGGCTCTTATAAAGACATTTACCTTTGTAGCTAATATGATCTTCTGGACAAATATAGTTACGGTTCATTTCAGTAGAGCAATAGAAGTAGAACTTATCCTCACAAGATGCAGAAACAAATTTACTGAAACAAATATTATTTACATACTATATATATTTTATAATCTTTATTATAATTGAAATACTGATAAGCTCACTAGTATTTAGTAGCATTAATTGCAACACAGTGCTCTGAGGAGCTTGGTTGGTTATCGGCCCATGGTATTTCAGTCAATTCATTCCCACTGCTATCAATCCATTTAACTCCTGGGGGATGAACTAAACAAAATTAAACTGTACTTAATATGTTATGTTTGGGAATAAATATTGTACCTGATTCTGAGTCCAATCCAACCCAAATTATATTTGTGTTTACAGACTTGTTGGCAAGAACTCCAAGAACCTTTAGAATTTCATAATTGACAGGATAGGTTAAGTGGGTGACATAGTCACTGCTTGGATCAGATGTGCAACTAATCTCTGCATCTGTGTAACTCATTGGTTGTTGAGATAACTTGTAGCAATGGTGATGATACAGTTTGTAACCTGATGGACAGGGCTTTGATCTTTCATAGTTTTGATGCACATGACAAATCTTAGACATTTGGTACATTTGAGCAAGATTTAAAACTTTGGTAGAGATTTGAAGACAACTCATATCACCAAGAAATCCTTTAGATTCTGCATTTGTCGCTCCAATTTTAAAACTTTTTCCAATAGCATTTGTCTTGAACCAGCCATTACTACTAAAGTTTATTTGTAAGCCTTCACCATCTTTAGAGCCAAAAGTCTCATTTATAATCAGAGTCGCAGTCTCTGTTTTTGAATCAAAGGTTAAACCAATAAAAGTCCATCTGTTAAGCTCTATTAGATCATGTGAAACACCTGTAAATGATTGTTGACATAGCATATCTTGACAAACATTAAAGCAGATAGAGTTTGACTTAAGGTAAATGTAGAAAGGAGGGAGATTTTGAGATAAGCGGTTTCCTGTATCAATGATCGGGATATTGTCTGAACTACTTGATTTCAATCTTATCCACAATCCAATTGACATTCCAATGGTCGAGGTGATATTGGTTGTATTAAAATCTTGAGATATATATGAATTTTTAGAACCCATAAAAACTGCATGGCGTTTCAACTCTGTTTTCCAAACAGAAGTGTCTGCAAATCCAACATTCAATTCTTTAGACTTCTCAGTCACATTATCCAAAGGGTGCACATACTCAGGGATACCCATAACTTCAATTACATCAGGGTTTGGGATTTGAATAGTTTGACAAATATAAGGAAGTTTTGTGGAACAATCATTTAGCTGAAAAACATTTGAAGGAGATTCCATTCCAACACAGTTCCCGCTTCCTTAATTTTGATTCAATTAGGAATTAAATAACAAATCAGTGTTAAAATTTTGGGGGGTAGTAAGAATAATTAACCATATGCATTCCCCCCCCCCCCCCCCCCCCCCCCCCCCCCCCCCGCCCCAGAAATGGTAACAGGTAATACTGAACAACTTAATAAAACTTGTGCTTTAAAGGCCAAAGCTTGATAAGGTTCAATTGGGTTAACCATATTCCATACTGTTCGTTAAAAATTATAGAGGTGGTATATGTTGAGGTCAAATAGAGTTCAATAATGATCACTACTTATTTTACTTCTATCTGTTGCATACATCTTCGAGGAGAAAATGGTTAGAAATGACTCATCCCTAATACTATATACTAGGGATGATTAATTATTATAATTAAAAATTAATTAATATTATCATATTATTCCACTCACATTGAAAATAATTAAATTAAAATTAATTAAATTAATTAATTAAAACTACTTATTCAGATATTACAACCTACAATTCAATTAGATTGAATTGAATTCAAGTTGATGCATTTCTATATAGTTGACATTTCATAATATTTTTTTTTATTTTGTTATTTTGCTTAAAATTAGTTTTATCTGCTGCCATTGGATTTTCAACATTCCTGGAATATATGGAAATGTCATCTTCATTGTCAAAAATCATCAAAATTTCAGGAATGAACATTTTCAAAAGTAACACTCAGATCATATAGAATTAAAAATATTACGAAAATTGGACAATTGTAGGTTGAAATATCTGAATGAGTAGGTTAATATTTAATTGAATTATTAATGATCTGAGTTGAATAATGCTACTCACTGAATTTATGTGGATGCTAGATTCTTGGGTTTTAAACCATTTTCTCCTGTAGATGCAACACAATCAAAAAGAAGTAAAATTAGCAATATCAAATTCAATTGGATATTAGCATAAACCCCCTGTCATTTATCACAAACACTCCCTATAACATAATATAACATTTTATACCTGTCATTCCTATAAATTTTTTAGTTGCTTCAGAGTAGTCAGATGTGTAGAAAACTTTATCTGTGTCAGCTGACATCTTATACAACAGCTTTCTGAATCCAGTCCATATTGTGATACTAACATTAACTTCTTCTTGTAGCACTGAACTTACGAATATTGTGTGCAGTATTGTTGTGGGTTCAACTAGATGACTTCCATTGCTGTTGCAATCAACAAGTGCTTCTGTGAAAGATTTTGGTTCATTATAAAATCTATAGCACTCCTCTTGGAACAAAATGTAATCGTCAGGACATGTCCATTTATTTTCCCTTTCACAAATATATCCTTTCAGAGTAGGAGCTCCAGTCTCTGTAAATGGAATAAAATCCATTTTAACTGTGTTGATATCTGATGTTAAGCCACGCAAAAACCCTTTAGATGGATTACTGTTGAAATTAACAGCTGTCATCCATGGGCAACCTGAAACTGGAGCATATCCATTGGAAGATATTGACATTTTATTCTTTCTGTGACTAGATGATACTCTTCTCGCTCTATAATCATCCAAATCACCGCCAAACAATCCAATCCAATAGTTTTCTAATGGAGACTTTTTCAGTAGCCATAAATCCTGTCCTAGGGAAATAAATTCATCACAATTATCAAACTGTGTGAGCCTGGCATGATCTTTAGCACATGCATAAATTGCTGCATTAAAAGACATTGCTTTATTCATATTCTCAACCTTGAGGCATTTTTTTATATTTGGAAACCAAATGTAGCCAAGTTTACAATGTGACTGACAAATATAAGGTTTCTTTTTTCCTTTATCCTCTGCGACCCACTGAAATTTTCTGCTCTCAACAGTTAATGCATAGTTATCAGTACACATTGATGCTAGGCATCCCATGTTCTCTTTTCCATCCTTCCAGTTGGAGTAAGAAGAAAAGTTTTTTTGATTGGACATCCAACTCCACTTTAGGTCTTTTGCCACTCCTCCAATCCAATAGGAAGATAAGTCTGGAGCATATTTGGGAAGAAAAAATGTCTTGGATGATAATAAATACTTGATGTATAATTGAATATGAGGAATTAGTGTATCATCCATTATAGAGAGTAAGAATGCCCCTTCTTTAGCACACATTGCAACAGCATCAATAAATGTCTCTTGATATGATGATATGCGAATACAAGAACCATTTATCTTTTCATAGTTGGCTGAGCACTCAGATCCCCCAGATCTCATAAATTCAGTGCAGTAGGAGAACTCGTCAATGCTTTCATTGAACATCCTTGTGGGATTTAATTTAGTCGGGCACCACAGCTCATCTCTCTGAGCTAATATACATTTTTCATACCAGATCCTCTCATACAGGAAAGGAGTAATGCAGCCATTTCCAGAACCTGTACCTCTGTAAGCTATCTCCCTCTCATCCCTGCATGTTCCCCATTTTTCAGGTTTCATTGTTCCATTTTCATATACCTCTGTAGCACACCATGTTGTTCCTAATTCTTCATCTAGAACACAAGAAGTTCTCCATATATCTTCACCAGTTCTTTTGAATGGAAAATGACATGAAGTGTTTGTCACTGGACCATCGACAGTTAAAATAGTTTTTGCCTCGCATATGTATGCTAGGTTGTTGATTTCTGAATCTAGAGTACAATTCTCTAATGTCAAAAACCCACTCTTATCTATCATAATACAAGCCTTGCCTGAATAAGTGCTAATACCAGTTAAGGTTGATGATTTAAGTGATCCCTGATCAGCTATCTTTTTTTCTATCATGTATGCCCGGCTACCATCCATGTACTGAATCTCTAGCCCGGGGAATACTCTGGAAGTAAATGCACCAATTGCGCTGAAAGATTGTTTTCCTGAAGAATGATAGAATAATGATGAACTGGATTTCAAATACTCATTTTCAAGGTCAAGCAAATTGTCATAAGTTGTGAAGTCTCGGGGCTGAAATAATCTGGCCCCCATGGTTGTACATTGTTGTACTGCATGATCCACATCTATAGCTATGTCGCTTTCAGTTCTAGCTGATAAATGGATACATGTAGTTTCATGAAAAAAAAATCCCACAGGGCAGTTTTGGATTGCACATGATGATTGGCATTGGCCTCGGCTGGTTTCAGTTTCAATATGGTTTCCTTTGGAATCTTTTGATAGACTACACCAAGGAACATTTGAATCTATGGTTATACAGGTGTCATGCAGTCGTCCTTTGTATCTAAAAGGGAACTTGCAAACTTTATTGTTTACAGTCAGGCATTCAGTAAATTGACACAATGTTCTTAAATCAGGGTCAAAGATGGTTGGGGGTCCCCAAATCCTTCGTATTGCGAAATTGAAGCATTCATTTAATTGAGCTGTAGCATTAATATCCTTAGCAGCTGGGCCAACTCTGAAACATTCCTTGTTAATTGTTCCAATGTCTCTTGTGATTGCCAGCATTTCTGTGAGATTTATTGCTTTCATAGAAAATGGAGATCGAAAATATTGGTTATTGTCTTTCAAGAATCCTTTCCAACCTAAAAATATTATTTTTTTAATTGATCCAGTAAACTGTGATTCCAAAATGGTAGATCTGCAGGGTTCTCTATCAACTGTAAGATAATATTACCTAACAATGCATCAAAATTATAGTTGTATTCCATTCTTCTTGAAGGAAGCCAACTCTTTAGTACTTCAAGTTCAGTTGCTGTATTTGGTGTGAATAATCTTGTTCCGCTTCTTGCACAATATTTTTCTCCTGTTTCAAACAAGAATTAAAAGAAAATTCCTTTCTGAACAAACGGGATATATGTTTCAGGTGCGCATAAGATTACAATATAGCTAAGTACCTGAAAAATAGTCAACTTTATTAAAAGCGGATCCTGGAAATTCACCAATTCTTAAACATGTTCTTCCCAGTTCAGGCACCCAAGTGTAGTTTTGGGGACAATTTGGACTCACTGTGCAGTAATGCTGAAAAGTCAAAATTAAGAATCAAGAAGAGAACAAGAATAAAAAATAACATACTGAGAACTTTAGATTGCAGTCCACAATTTTGTGCTTGTAATCTGTGTCTTTATCTGCTACTAAACATTCATCTGATGCATCCTTATTTGTTATTTCAACTTCATAAGGAGACAATATATCTCCATTTGTCTTCATCCAAACTCCATCAAATTTCTTCACACCCACCCAAAAGGACCCTAATCCTTTCTCTTTAGCATATATTCTAAAAAAAGAAGATTTAAAGGAACTTCAGGAAAATTTTAAGTTGTCCTCCATGCAAAGATAGCAAAGCCTAATTCACAAGGGTACCCTTTATCTGATTACTGATGTGGAGGATAGTATCATTTTTATAGGTTTAAAAGGATTATTATTCTAATAATTCCTATATAAAGGCACAAGTCACTTTTGTAGAGAAATCCCACAAATTGAAATCTAATTTACTCTTCGCCATACAAAGCTTTTAAGGGTACCATTGTGAAATCAGGCATTGATGTCATTGCAATCACTTGAAATTATGCTTGCTGTTCATTTTATGGACAATGTGATACTAGACAACTCATCAACTGTCTGTTCATTTCAATTAATAACTTTCAACTAATGAAGTTTTCCCACAGATCAGGTAGACAAAGATGCAGGGTTAACGTTTACCAGGAGTCTAACAAGTTAGTCCATGTCAGGTTGAAGAAGCGCAAAACGTTCATGTTGAAATGCACAATGGGCTTAAGGAAAAAAATATTTGTATTGTCATGATTATGGAGACTAAGTACTAGCATATATGCTTCCTCCCTGTACCCACTTGACCCACTGTGCAAAGTAAATATTCAGATTGTAATGTTCACAATAATCTCAAAATATCCATCTCAATTGATTGATTAACTCGAATCTTACAGTAATAGGCAGATGCATGATTAGTAATTCCTGTTTCATGCTATACATATGCAGGGTAGTCAGCATCTATGATGCATCTTTATCTGCTTGATCTGTGAGTTTTCCATACATTTTCTAAAAAGCTTGGTCAAACCCTTACTGTCCTACCCCAATATTGCTGTCTGAATATCATCTATAGGAAAAGTAATCAATCCTTGTTTAGCTTCACAGGCCTCCACTGCTGCAGCATATGTCATTTCTGATTGTTCTGTTCTAACACACTGGGCAGCCAGAGCAATATTATCATTCTCTGCAGGACACACTGAGGTTGTTGGAAGAGTTCTTTCAAACATTTTCACTCTATACCTTAAACCAACTTTGGATAGATTTAGTTATAATTAGAGTTTACACTTTAGTGTACGTTACTAAAAATAGTAGAAACTTCTCTGTTCAAATATTCCTACGATCAGAATCAGTTTTTACAGTTATAAAAAGAAGTGATACAAACTTTTAAATGGAGTTGCACCTTTACATTTTCGTTGGTTAATAATTTTGCATATTTTTTTGCATATTTTAAGGGTCGTTTGCTTTTAATGGGAAAACCAATATGTAAGACTAAATTCGGAAATATTATAGTACTTTTTTAAACTGTTCAATAATTTTAATTTCACAAAATACAAATTTCAGTTATGTGGGGTAGACTATAGACAAGCATCAAACTTATTGATTTTAATGTAATCCTTTAAAAACATGTTACCATGAGAATCCCACATTGTTACATTTCACATTGAAAGTGGGTGTTCTGTGGCATCTCCAGGTTGGCTCTCCAGTTAAATATGTGATCTACAAAATAAAGAAGAAAAAACACTTGCCTCAAACAAAAATTTTCTAATAATTATATTCTTGCAACCTTATTCTGTTTTCTTTGATATTTCAGACGTTAGCAAGTAGATCTGTCAAAATCCATAGTTTAAACTGTCAAAGACATACAGCCTCAGGTTGCAAAAATCAGAAGATTTGAGTTTGTGGCAAGTATTTTTTATTTTCATATTTTTTCAAATTACAATTTTTCATTTAATTATGTTGTTTTATCTGCATAACCCCCCCCCCCACTTGAAAAGCTAATAAGCAACTATAGATCACTTTAAGTTGAAGCTAATCATTTCAAAGGTCTACACCATCAGATTAGAAAATACGATTTTTGTTTGGCTATTAGTGAAACTTATATTTTCTAATCGCTACATCTTTGCACCATAATGATGGAAACCTTTGACATTCTAACTTATAATTACTAATCTTTAATAATTCAAAGTTTTGTGACAAAAGTTCAGTTTGGTAAATAAAAAAACCTAAAAAGTAAGCTTTATTTTAAGGAAAATTTAGAATTCTTTAAAATTATTTATTTTACCTGGGCAAGAGAGGGGTGTTTGTACACCTGCAGTACTTTTCCTCTATGGTGCAGTACCTTAGTGCAAACAGTTCCTAGGTATTATATTATTATTATTTCAAGAAGAATACATTAAAATTGTTAATTCATATTCTAATTTCTAGCAGAAGTTTCTGGAAAAGTAGGACAAAACTTAATGGCGGGGCCAATTCAGATTTGTTGTACAAAATGGTTTGGTAAATCACTTCTGCAGGGAGACGGCAATACAATAGGAGTTATACAGATAAATGAAGGTTTGCTGAACTTTACAATTTTTATCAAATTACCATTGCAACCTATCCGATTATTCATATCAGGGGGAGTAAATATGCTTTTGTCATTTCCCAGTTGTTCGAAGAACAGGCTATCAAACACTGCAGATTCATAAGAGATGTCAACGGAGTCAGGAGAAGGAAATCCACTTGAATGACTCGCATCAAACTCTCCTTGGGGATAATTGTTCACAAAAACCTAGGCAATAACTTCCAATCAAATTTAAATTATTTGACAGCCTAGCTACTTTATATGCTACTAGCTGAAGCTACAATTGACTTTTGAAAAAAAAATTATTTTTGAAGAAAAAAAAATATATTTTAAAAAATAGAATTTGTTTAGCTTACATTACCCCCAAGAAACCCATGGGTTCTCTAAAAAAATGTCAGCCAATTTGGTCCAGCTGTTTGGTCAGCTATAGCTAACATATATAAATAAATATATATATATGTAATCGAAGAGCTACTTTATTTACTTTTTCGAATAATTAAAATTTTTTAAACTTTTAGAATCAGATGACTTGATAATAATCTTCATAGTCCAGGTAATTGCAACATTTAATTTTACTAATTGTTTCCTTCAAGATTGAAAATAGATCACCTGGAATTTGTCATTGTTGCAAGAGATATAAACATCTGTTATTTCTCCATAGTTTATAGGAGGGTTGATTGTTGAAGCTGTGTTATCTATATCTAACTTTGCTTCAGCTGGTGATAATATCAGTTTAATTGATAATAATACTGCGCTGTCTACCCCCTTCACAGTCATTGATAAACCTAACATATGATTAAAGAGAATGTGAGCGTAATTTTAAGTGACCCTCGCATGCAAAGAATGCATAACTTATAGCAATATTTTATCATTGTCTGTCAGATTATTAGAAAAAGTAAAGCATGATTTAACACACATATTTTGATTTTCAGAGAAAATCCTCGCAAATTTGCAAAGACTCAAAACAAAAGTTTATTGATTGATTGGTTCAGACTAACTGTGTATCCTATCTTGCACTGGAACCAAAGTTTATTGATTGATTGGTTCAGACTAACTGTGTATCCTATCTTGGACTGGAACCAAAGTTTATTGATTGATTGGTTCAGACTAACTGTGTATCCTATCTTGGACTGGAACCAAAGTGTAAATGTAAAATATTATATGCTGGTAATTTAAAACAGTCATTATTCTGATTTATCAGCAATACATTCATTTTTCGTAAGTTAATATTTTTATATAGAGTCACAGTTTATCTATATTGAAATTAGAGTTTTAAGCCTTTTTCTAATTTTTCAAATTTCAACCCTGTATTTTAACCGGGAAACAGCGCACAATTCCCCACAATAATATAAAAATTATGGCTAAAATAATTAAGAAGTTACGCGCATGCTGCTTCTGCCTCAGGATCAAAAGGTTCATAGATTAGTTTCCCGAACAGGCTATAGGTTGCAGAGATAAGGGATTTATGCATAAATGTAGTAAATATTGTGTTAGCTATCTACTTTATACTATCTTTACTATGATTATTTCTGTAAATCTATTTTTAGTTTTTTGTAAACTGACCGGCCATTCCAGTCGGAGCAGACAATGATTTTTTCTAAATAAAAACAGTTTGATACAGACTCTTTTTATGTAAGGATTGTGCTAATCTAAATAGTCAGATAATTAGAGTTTGTGGCAGCACATTTCAGCTGATAAAGTTAAGGAGATACGGGCTAGATTGTTACATGAATATTGGTTGCTTCTTAAGGACAATCGGTTCTGAATCATAATCATTACAAACATTTAAATTTGATAAATTGAAATCCTTAAACTTACCATTTGTTTCAGCAACAACTGGAGTTTTTGTAGTTCCTTTTCATAAAAATAAGATATTTCAAGTAAATCATATTTTGATACACCTGTTAAATATGAGGGCTTTATGGGAGAGATTTTTATTACTTTAAGCATTTTTCGAGTATTAGTGAGATTAAAACTAGGCTTGATATTTAAAACAGTTTCATCCAAAATTGAACTTAACCCTACCAATCACAAATGAGGGGGATTGGTTTTTTCTTAAAAACTTTAAAAAATCTTACACTAGAGCACTCAATTTTTTTCCTCACTTTTTCAACTTCATAAGTTCAAACGAATTATAATATTTTTGGGTGCATCACTGCTTACTGATGCATGGGCCATTATCGGTATTTCAAAAAATCATTTTTTTATGATCTCAGCTACAGATCTAATATCAACAGTAAATATTTGTCAAATTATTTGATGTTGACATTTTTCAGAGATACGATTCAAAACTATGGAGTTCTAATGAGCTATAAGCCTTAAAGGTTGAATCAGGAACATGCACAGGGCAAAATCATAGATGGTGGTAAAATCAACCCCCCCCCCTTTATATTTGAAAAAATAGCCCAATCAGGCGATAGGGTTAATTATTAGCAATTAAACGATGTTTATAAATAATTTCAATAATATTTTTATTTTCCTGAAATATGAATTCCCCCCTCGGGACAAATATTGTTCTTTAGCTTGATGTTCTTGTTCGCTGGCACACTTTCTTCTATTAAAAAGTTTGTATTATAGATTTATTTATTGCATTTATAAAATATAAAAAGAAGTCTGCCGCAACTTTTATACTAGTTGAAGTGCCCGGCGCTGTCCGTGGAATTTTAGAAACACTTTGGTCCAGCCGTTTGCTATAGCTAACACAAATATGCAAATATACAAATATACAAATATATCAATTCCCATTTTTATTGGGACACCTTGTATATGAGCAAAGAGCTTTATTATATAGATGCTTGTATGCTGCAATTATATGTATTGTATTATGTATGTATTATGTATAGACGAACACCTAGAGAGTTAAAACTGCAAAATTATTACCACCCTGCACTCGGAAGATAATTGTTTCATCCTCAGATTAATTGTTTTAACATGGGAGGTCGCTTTTTTACTGAGATGTAAAATTATTTTTTTAGATATTTAACGCATTGAAAATTTAGTATCTACAAAAAACGCTCAGAAAGGTATATCTACCAAATATTAAACGGTTTACTCTGGTAGGTAGAGATGGCCATGTTCGACTTTTATTCATTTCGTTTTGTTATTGTCCCTGAACGACCCATTTCGTTCGTTTTTTTTCAATTGTTCAAAAAAATATTTTTTTCTTTTTTAAAATTATCATTCTTTTCTCAGTAAAATCGTTTGTTCAGGAAAATAGTTAGTTCAATAAAATTGTTGGTTCAGAAAACAAAAACGATCGGTTTTAAAAAAAATCTGAAAGTAAAGAACTATTATTTTTAAAAATTGTCTCCCGAAAAATCGTTTGTTGAGTAAAAACTATGGGTTTTTTTAAAATCTCTCGGAAAATTTGTTCATGCAACAATAGTTTTTTTTAAGTTTGTTTGAATGATTTTGAATTGTTCTTTTTTTGTTTCTTTTTCGTTTGTTTTAGAAAACCGATCATTTTTTCATTTCTGATCAATTTCGTTAATCCATCATTCATTATTCTTTTTTGAACGACACCCTTTTCCACAGAACATTTTGATCATTTTCAAAAGTTTCATTCGTTCAAAAAAACGATACCCATCCCTACTGATAGTCAGCATATATCCCTCAGATGCCCATCCCTACTGATAGGTAGCATATATCCCCCAGATGCCCATCTGTACTAATAGATAGCATATATCTCTCAGATGCCCATCACTACTGATAGGTAGCATATAGCCCCCAGATGCCCATCACCACTGATAGGTAGCATATATCCCTCAGATGCCCACCTATACTAATAGATAACATATATCCCTCAGATGCCCATCACTACTGATAGGTAGCATATAGCCCCCAGATGCCCATCACCACTGATAGGTAGCATATATCCCTCAGATGCCCACCTCTACTAATAGATAGCATATATCCCTCAGATGCCCATCACTACTGATAGGTAGCATATATCCCCCAGATGACCATCTCTACTAATAGATAGCATATAGCCCTCAGATGCCCATCACTACTGATAGGTAGTATATAGCCCTCAGATGCCCATCACTACTGATAGGTAGCATATATCCTTCAGATGCCCATCACTACTGATGGGTAGTATATAGCCCTCAGATGCCCATCACTACTGATAGGTAGTATATATCCTTCAGATGCCCATCACTACTGATAGGTATCATATATCCCTCAGATGCCCATCATCACTACTGATAGGTAGCATATAGCCCTCAGATCCCCATCACTACTGATAGGTAGCATATATTCCCCAGATGCCCATCATCACTACTGATAGGTAGCATATATCCCCCAGATGCCCATCACTACTGATAGGTATCATATATCCCTCAGATGCCCATTATCACTACTGATAGGTAGCATATAGACCTCAGATCCCCATCACTACTGATAGGTAGCATATATCCGCCAGATGCCCATCACTACTGATAGGTAGCATATATCCCTCAGATGCCCATCACTACTGATGGGTATCCTATATCCCTCAGATGCCTATCATTACTGATGGCTAGCATATATCCCCCAGATGCTCATCATTACTGATAGGTAGCATATATCCCCCAGATGCCCATCACTACTAATGGGTAGCATATATCCCTGAGATGAATTTTTTACAAAAAGGAGATCATATTTGTCTAGTTTAAATCTCAGATGCCTATCATTACTGATGGCTAGCATATTTCCCCCAGATGCCCATCACTACTAATGGGTAGCATATATCCCTGAGATGAATTTTTTACAAAAAGGAGATCATATTTGTCTAGTTTAAATCTCAGATGCCTATCATTACTGATGGCTAGCATATATCCCCCAGATGCCCATCACTACTGATAGGTAGCATAAATCCTGCAGATGCCCATCACTACTGATGGGTAGCATATATCCCACAGCTGCCCATCACTACTGATAGGTAGCATATATCCCTGAGATGAATTTTTTACAAAAAGGAGATCATATTTGTCTCGTTTAAAAGCATAATATTCAGAGAAGACACTACATATAGGGAAAACTGTACTATGACAGCCACACAAACTAAAGCCTCATGGCCATGGCATCACTGAGGACTTCAGCTAAGTCTTTTACGAATTAAAGATCTTACTGATAAGAGTTGGTTGTCCTAGCTGAAAGTACTTGTTTGGAAGAATATCTCTCAGTAGAAGTCCAAACAATTCCAGTCTCATGAGAACAGACTGAGTGAGCGAGGATAGTTGAAATTGTATTCTAAACATTAGAAATAATAATACAATATATATATATCTATACTTCACTGTATTTTGAATTTTTCTCAAAAAGCATCACTTCATGTGTATGAAAATAGAGGAAAATTAAAAACAGATCTTTAAGAACTAGAAATGCTTAACCCTATCCCTGCTGGGGTATTTGAAAACCAGGATATGCGGGGGGGGGGCAAATATGTCATAGGCTTTCCAAAAAGCTAAATTTTATCAAAATCTGACAAGTGAAAGTGGGTCAAAACAAAGATTTAGTTTGTTACAGGCAAAAGCAAACATTCAGGCAGTATACCTGAAGACTCAGGCAGTTAGTATTAAAGCCCGGTTTTAGGCCTAAAGGGAGGGCTTTGGGTATGTAAGCAGGAATAGGATTAGTTTATTTTATAGATGCCTGTCGTTTCAAGTTTATCATATAATAACAAAGATCTATTAAAACAATTTATCCACAAATGTTTAATAGAACTTAAATGGCTGTAGAAAGTTTGTCCTATCAAACATTTTATAGCAATTTTTCCAGAGTCTAAAACTAAAGAACGAAATGTTTCGACTTCAATGTTAAGATGTAACTTAAATACCACTTCTGACATAAACTACAGCTTCAATGTTAAGATGTAACTTAAATACCACTTCTGACATAAACTACAGCTTCAATGTTAAGATGTAACTTAAATACTACTTCTGACATAAACTACAGCTTTAATTTTAAGATATAACTTAAATACCACTTCTAACTGAAACTACAGCTTCAATTTTAAGATGTAACTTAAATACCACTTCTAACTGAAACTACAGCTTCAATTTTTAACTTGTCGATTTAATTTTAAACCCAAAAATACCCGCATTTAATTTTGTGATAAATGCAGGAAAAAAGTTTAATCTTTCGCGCATTCTTTAGATTTTGACTCAGGATTTATTTATTTATACCTATCCACAACCACAGGATGGTTTAATCGAACAGTTTTCTTTATTGGATCATCTAGATCCGAGGTGTTAGTTGGAAATACTTGATGGGTAAAGAACTCATAGTACTGGTAGTCTGGATCCTGTGGGTTCATCATAGGAATTCTCAATCCAAAGTTCTTGATGAAGTTGTTTTTATCCATTGTGAGAAGAAGAGAATTCAGAACAATGGTTTCATTAAACCTGATCTCAAACCACTTACCAGCAAAGGATCCCCTGAAAATATTTTACATTAAAAGGAGCAGGAGTATAAAAAGTTCAATCAATAATTTTGAATTTTTTTTATAGTAAAATCAATTTTTATTTATAAAGTAGTAATCTCTGATTGACTGTCGGTTGGTTTGTTTGTATGTCTGACCATAGCTGAAAACTTTAGAATGGTGGATATCGAGAACAATGTTTGATCTCCTCTTTTTCTTAATCTCCAGATTAAATAATGCTTGTTCTCCTCTTGTTAATAATCTCCAGATTAATTAATCGATCGGGATTAAGGATATCCCATTCTAAAGTTTTCAGCTCATATCTCATGAACCCCTGGACCGATTTGTCTAAAATCTTAATTGGGGAACTCCACGTTGATATACAATCTTGGTTGTGTATATAAATACAATAAAGACAACTTTCGGCTTCAATTTTTCATTTCTACCAATCTTTCTACTGCAGCATGAATATGCACATAAACATGGAAACCAGAAATTGTAATCTTGGAATTTAACAAATCTTGTTAGAAATCTCAAATTGAAAAGAATAGTTGTCTTCATTGTATTGATATCAACGCCGACCATTGTACCTGAGGAGTTCAAATCTGAAAGGTATTCCAGGTTGACCGGGAAGTATAGAATGATTGACACTAAGAATCTCTACACCAGCATCAAAGAATTTATAATCAACATATTTAGAGCCAAGCAACTTCTTGTTTCCGTATCCTTCCACTGAAAATGATAATTAAATATGAAATATTGTGTCCTGAGCCCGCGATTAAAAAATTCTGGGAAATACGGCTCGGGTCTAAGCTGTCGTTGGACCTTATTTACAACTTGAGCTTTCGGATTCAAGCTGCATCTTATTTTCCACCGAGTTGAATTAAAAAAAACGGTTTAATATTCTATTTGTAGGATTTTCATGGTAGAAATTAACGCATTCTTGGTTTTTATGAGAACAAGACTCAACATTGAGTCTTATTCTCCACTAAACCCAACCAAGGTCGGTTTTATTTCATTGGGCCTAACTCCTTAAGTCGAGCCGAAGATCTTGCAGTTGTCAATCCCGTGACACAAGCTGTCGTTAGAGTTGGGTCGAAAATTGGGTTTTAAAGTCGGGTTTAAGGAATTACGACTCGAGCCGAAGTTTTTAAATCACGGGCTCTGTAATGTGTAGTATTGTTAATCTTGATGATCTCAATATTCAATGTGGGAACTTTTACTTTAATGATCACTGAAATAAACAGATTCTTGTAGGATCATGACCATTAAATTAATTTGTAAGCCTATAAATGATGGAGATCAATGTTTGATACCGAGACTCATAACAACAAAGTTTGAACTTCTGTTTGAAGTGTTTACAATTCTTATTATCCCTGTGTACCTGAATACACATTGTATTAAAACCAATAAGACTTTAATGCTTAATTCTAAAATTAAGACTCTTCTTAAGATAAAAAGGTAAGGTTCTCTTTTTACATGTGTTCAATTAAATCTGGTGAAAAATCAGTTACAATCTGTTATAATTTTAACCCCCATTTTAGTTCTAAAGTTCTAAAGGATTAAATTTAGTGCTGAAGCCTATTAAACAAATTTCCCAACTCCATAATTTGTTTCTGAACACTATTTTCACTTTTAAAAGGCACCCCAAAAAATCTGAGAACGTTTAACAATAATTTAAAACTATATTCTATAGAGCAAGAATATTCTGATATTCAGCATAATTCTTCTGCAGAAGAACATGAATTGCTACCTATAGGTTTCTCACAGATGATCTGCCCAACAGCATTCTTGATATACTCTACTGTAGAGTTGTTAGACATGTAGATAGAACTAAATACTTCATCTGATGTTGAGACCCAGGCTTTATACATGTCTTTAAACGGTTCTTCTGGTGCAGTTAAACCATCCCACTCTGTACTATTACCTAACAGTTAAACTGTAGATTTTGTATGTTTTGTAATTTATGGTTTTCTGTTTGTTAATTTTTGGTAATTGGTTTGCTAGCAGAGTTCTACCTAGCCTTATGATTTCAAAGAGATTTTTAGTCTTTAATTCCAGAACACACATATCCAGGTTTGGTTAGGCCAGGCTGAGGCATAAAAATTAACGAAATTTTCTGTTTTTTCTAAATCAGTTCACTTACATCACATCAGGAATAGTATTTTTTTATAATTGCTTGAAAAGCAATAATAAAATGCCTTTAAATGATACCCCTTAATCTTACCCATTTAAATCCAACCCAAAATATGGTGCATATAATTGTAATTGTATTGAAACAAAATCAGAATATGCGTGTGTGTTTAAAATTTTCTAATAATTGATTTAAAAAGAGATCAATTAAAAAACAATCATTTCAATTAAAATATGTAATGTTCTGACATTGACATTTTTAATCCATTCCATCAATAAAATAAGCATATACTTACTGAACAATGGAAAATAGCTGAGAAACTGGGAGTTATCAATATGTGAAAGTAATCCTCGGTTTAAGTAAGTTGTCCCCAAATGATAAACCTTATTACCACTGCTGAAATCATAATAACTTTTAACAAAAATGTTTTATATTGTATGAAAATGTGTTAAACTAACATAACGTATATTTTATATCAGATTAACTTAACTTGCAAGGATAAAGCAACTATGTAAAAATGTATTTTGACATTAAGTAAGAGTCACCTATATTTTCATTTTGGGAAATGTTATTTGATCGTTTTGATCATTATAATTTATACAATAATGGAATTTTCTTACAATCTTTGCTCCCTTCCTACTCGCCCATAATACATAAAGACAAAATATAAATCTTTAAATAAATAAGTAAAATTTGGTCTAACTAAGTCTGTCTAACAATCCAGATGTAATAAGTGCATGGATATTATATTTACCTAAAGAGAGAAGAAATAACTTCAGCTTCCCCTACAAAGCGTGGTGCCCAGATATCTGAACCGGACGTATAACATTTTCCTGCTTTCGTCATGTGCCCAGATCCCTCGTCCTTATAACACCTATTACCAAATCGCCAAAAACCTTGCTCACATTCTACAAAAAAGAAAGATTTAGATTTTTTTCTTTACTTTTTGGTCTTTGGCGTTCAGAAATTGTTTTTATTTTTCGCTCTATCAATTCTTGAATTGTTACGTCTGATCCGTCAATCTGAACAGTATATGAAAGGAGTTTAGCTTATATCGGGTTTTTACATCCTAAATCTTATTTTTGAAGAAAATCTATACTGCTATGCGTAAAGCTGATCGTTAGAACTCAGTCTGACGCACAACCCAAACCAAAAACATAATAAAGCAAGCCATTCCAGAATTCATTAGTAGTCCATACTGCTTTCCGTTTGATTTTTGGATATAAAAACCCCCTTGTTGTCCTGTTAATATTTCGATATGAATAATAATCAATAAAAAAATATTCGTAGAAGCCTGATTTGTCACTTTAGAAATATAAGCCTAGTATAACCTCAGTTCTTGAATATATTTTGAAACTTTCAAAATACGCAATATAATCCTTTCATGTTCTGTTCTCTAGACGGAACTGACGTCACATCCGAAAATTCAATGCCGCGGAAAATTATCAAAGTTTTAAGTTAAAATGTTCTAAAATACTAATTTGTACCTGCAGTGTAAAGAGAAACAGTATCAATTCCACCACAAAATAATTGAGAAATATCAGAGCACTCAATGTCACATCTTCCTGGTTCTATTTCAACAAAGTTGTCTTGATCTATGTCGGAAATACAACTACACTTGTTACCCGAGGTTATTAAAGCAAACCTCTTCTCATTACTTTTACAGTTGATCAAGCAGTCTTGAATGGATTCGGTTTCAATTTCATTATCCCCGGATTTCATTTGAAAGCAACCAATGTTTATTGGTTGATCGACAATAAGTTCAAGAGGAGAAAATAATATAGTACCACCTCCAGTTGTGTCAGCATTCACTAAATATTTTAATTATCAGTTAAATTAAAGGGACCGTAAAGGAAAAATGAAAGTGGGTTTAGACTGAAATCTGAGAATCTCAGGAGTTGAACGATACCTATAAGAGATCTATCTAACTTTCTCGAGAAATTGACATAAACCTGTGTCAAAATTATACCAAAACGTATATATGTTAAATATACTTTTAAAATTCGGTGATGGTGATGGACCAAACCTCTGTAGAGTAAAAAAAGTAGATGTTAGTTCCACATTTATTAAAATATACGTCCGTATCACGTGACCAGAACTCCCTACAATGGCAGTGCAGTATACTGGTCATATGATACAGACGGAGACACATGACAATAATACTGCACTGCCATTGGTTGGAGTTCTAGTGACATGCTCCAGACTGATAAATAATATTATCAATTATATCTATTTAAAATGAAAAATTATTAAATTCAAATAATAATAGAAGCACACTTGAGCTTCTCAGGCTCCTCTGGGATATCGTTGTTTTCAGATTACTTGCGTACTTGTTGAATATGATCTGTTTAATACTACAAATCTTATACAAAATCTTACATATATACTTTTTGGTATAATTTTGACACAGTTTTATGCCAATTTCTCGATACAGGAACATCAGATAGAACACTTTTATGTCTCAATCAACTCCTGAGATTTTCAGGTTTCAGCCAATACCCCTTTTCATTTCTCCTTTACGGTCCCTTTAAGATGTTGTGCGAAATATTCTGAATCTGTTTGAACCAAGGTTGTATAATAAGGTTGGTTACAAACGATGTGCTCCAATTTACGGAAAATGTCATCTGCTAAGATGACATTTTTCGTACATTGGAGCCATAGAGAATAGAATATATAGAGAGGAATTAAAAGAATCTCTCGGTATGAATTTTGTTCAGTCCCTTTCAGCCTGAAAGGGAGTTCAAAGTGTACTTATCATGTAAATGTTCACAAATTATATGCAGTAGAGTACAATAATACAGCATGTTCCCTAGACTATTCATTTCAATTTCGAAATTTTTAAAGCTGTTAAATAAACTTTATAATGAATTAGGTGAATAAAAACATCATTTGATTTATAGTTATAACGGAAAATCATCGTTTGTAAAGTGGAAGGCATAGAGTCTATGTAAAATGATCATTGGTCAATTATGAAACCAGCCTATTTCATAATTTGGTTTTCTTTTAACAATAATTTTAGATTTTCTATAAAATGATATTCCAGGGTCCAGCAGGTTATATAGCATAAATATGTGAAGTACACCTGCAGTATGGAAACAGTACAACAAAATGGCCATTTTACACTTTTTTCAAGTAAATTCCTCTCTATATATTCTATTCTCTATGATTGGAGCGCATCTAGAGTAACCAACCTTATTATACAACATTGGCTTGAAGTAAAAGAATTGTGCATACAACCTAACAGTAAAATAGCTTATTGCGATTTGCGTCATTATTACTATTATTTACTACAAACTCTAATTATATAATCCTTACATCTTTCCAACCCAATGTTGTAGACTTTTGTTGTTCCAAATTAGAACTATGTTATATCAAAAATCATAAGTTTGAAATATTGAATGTTTTCAGGGTGCAAATAGAAAGGAATTAGAAAATTTGAGTTTGTGGCAAAAACTCAGTTCTTCGTTTTAATGGTGAAATAAGGTTCTGTTATAAAAATAATTGCAAACATCAAATAAGGTTTAATAATCCAAAGATCCATATTTTTGTGAAATATTGCAAAAAGAAATAATGAATGAGTTCCATAAACATGGTCGAAGATATTAAAGATTTTAAAGGAATCAAACAATATGTTCAAATCAGGGAACACTTCGCAAACCTTTAATAGTCAGAGGAAATACAGGAAGAGGAGTTAAAGGAACAATGGCTGGAAAACTTTCAGTTTTAAAACTTTTCTGGATTTCAATTTTTCTTGAGATAATTGTGGATTCAGCATCAGTAACAGAGGCAGTTATGGTTCCCGACGCAGTTGTAACTACTGGTGATGCAAATCTAAACATGTATTTTCTTGAATAAGTTTCATTTTATATATTTTTTTTAATTACCTTGCCCAAACCTTCATGAAAGCGATTGGTTTGAATAGTTGAATATATTTGGGAGAAAGTCCTTGGACCGAATTTAATGAATAACAATTAGATTAATATTAGAGTTTCCAACGCAAGTGGATTTTACTTGCATGCAATTGGGGGCCCTGTAAACTACGCGCAATTTTGCACAATTCCGCGCTATTTAAGATCAGTTGCACGCAATTCCGCGAAAACAGAATTCCGTTTGGAAACCCTAGTCGTTATACTACCTACTGCCAATTCAAGAATCACATTCACAGTTAAATATTTAGTGACCAAATAGAGGATTTGAATCAGTGATTCAAGTTTTAAACCAGTGGTAGGTAGTTAAGCGACTTTTCCAATTCATTACATTCAGTCCCTGTTTCATCTTCAGTCATAGTTTTCTGTATACTATAGGAGAAAGCACCCGAACAGGTTCCTGCATGCTCAATTGCATATCCATCCACGGACCCACCCAGACCAGTCAGCTCTACAGGTAATCACATTGGACCAATAATGTAAACATGTTTATTTCTCGAATCTTTACCAAAAAAAGGAATTAAGCTTTTGAGAAAATATTAAAAATTTTAAAGCTTGTTTTAATTGCTTTGTAATGATTTGATAAAGCTTGATCAGAATAAAAAATATTACAATCTAAAAAAAAATTTGATTTAATTAAACCATTTCATCATCTTAATTGATATTAAGTGAAAATTTACCTTTTCCACTCTGGCAGAGATGTGAAGCTGAATAACTACATGGTATATCATTTAAAAGATTAGATTGAGTTTCATAAGCCACACAGTGCTCCCCAGGTCTTTTTCGATCATCTGGCGCTCCAGAACCTCCAGCATTGTTGGGTGCTCCTGTTATAAGTTAAGTTTTAGAAACCAGAATCAAACTTTAATTTTAAAATGTTTCAACAAAGTAATCGTAAAAATGGTGATGAGTTTTTAAAATATATATCAGTCTTTTATATACATAAAAACAATCCCTGTTTGGGTGTTTGTTTGTATGTTAGGATGTCCCTAGTATAACTCATAAGCCCTGAGCTGGGAACTTTAGAATGGAATATCTTTAATCCCAACTGCTTAATCCACTCTCTTTGGAAATAGTACAGAAAAATCAAAAACCGGTTTTTGAAAATAAGAGAATCTCTCTCGTCTCTGTATATTAAATAAAAGAACTAACTCTCCTTAAAAGGGGATCAAGTATTGATCTCAATATCCACCATTCTAAAGTTCTCAGCTCTGGAGTCTGGACTGATTTGGCTCAAATTTCAATCGGAATCTTAGAAAACCAAGGGATTTTTTTAGTCTGGTTTATAAGTTCTCTAGGGATAATTCCCTGGAAAGATAAGTTCTCAAACTAGTATACATAGGACATGAATTGAATTCTGAACATCGAAGATTAAATAGAATGGTCGTTTGGGCTTAAGTTGGTATTGAATTCTGAACATCGAAGATTAAATAGAATGGTTGTTTGGGCTTAAGTTGATCTTGGGGAAATTTAACTTTTTTAAACTCTAGTGTTCATTGAAAAATGGATCATTTAAAATTATTGATTTAATATACACTCCCTTTAATATTAGAACCTGGAAGCCATTTTGCAAATGAAAATGATGGTATTTCTTGGCCATTCCCAGAAAGCCATTGAAAGTTGTTTTCATTGGAGATGTCAGTTCCTGCTGTCCACTTGTATATAGCAAATTCTAAAGGTAACATAAACGTTAGAATAAATCAAACAGGCTAAGTTTTAAATCAAAAATTTACACCATGGTTGCAAAGATAGTAGAAAATTTGAGTTTGTGGCAAAACAAAGTTCCTTTATAAACTACGCCTTTCGGTGAATAATCAAAATTATAAACATAATATCCGTTTACTAATCTCAGGATTCATCTCTGATTGGATGATGAGATAGATTGAGAGAAAGATGTTTTCGCCGTTGCAATTTTTATTGGTTCTGAATCCTGACTGGATCAGACGCTACCATGGCCAGATAACGTTTTGATTTCACCATTGTGAATTAGGCATTGCCATCTTTGTATGAGAGGTCACTTGAAATTATGCTTACAGTCTCTTTAAACTCTTATTTAAAAAAGATGGCTCTACATCTAACTGACAAATATATACAATCTATAATGACAGTGAATATATATTCCTAAAAGATATACATATAGAAGCCATGAATGATGAAAATAATCAAAGATTTACGGGAAAATTTGCAACAGATTAAATTTTGTATTTATCAAAAGATATATGTATAGGGACATTGAATGAACTTTTACGTGATTTCAAAATTTATTAGTTGCCGGTCAATCACAAGTTGTCAATTTCGCCTGCAAGTTTTCAATTAAAGTTTTAGGTTTAAAAGGTACAGTTGTGAACTGTTGAAAGTAATTGACATTCTAAAATGAGAGATGCCAAAAGCTTATTACATTCCTAGGCTACCCATAGTGTCCACAAAAAATAGAAGCCCATTCGGTCCAACTGTTTGGCCGGCTATTAAGAACATATATTTGAATTTCTTGTTTTATTATATAGATTTTATTTATACTAATTAAATATTGATTACTTTATTTATTCTATTTAAAAAGGAGCTAGATCAAAGAAGATATAACCATATTTTTTACAAAATGTAATAATTTCGGTGCCACAAATGTATATCATTTTCTGACCAAAAAATATTACCAGCTTTTTATTAAAAAAAAATAACGATCTGTTTTTTTACATCAATTTCCAACTGTTAAAAAAGAGAAATTTCAGTTAGTCGTTTACTTTAAAGGTAAGAACGGAACATTCTTTTCGTTAACAACATTTACTGTTGTTTCCTTTAATTACCGTTAGTTGACAATCTCAATTTTAATAACGACATTAACGGAAAATTTTAAACAGTCTATTTAAGCATAAAAAATCGTTATAAAATCCTTAACCATGCAGTCATTAACGATCATTTGTAGTATTAATGGTGTTTGGATTATCAAATTGTTAACGGCACTAGCTGCAGTTGAATTATATTTATCCTTTTCTGCGGACTGATAAGTATCTAGATATCCAAATCAACTGTAATTTTACTATTCTGATGAGAACCAAGTTTCTTTTATGACTGGAAAAACTCCAACTTTTTCAAAATTCAAAGTTTACCACAATCTATTCTCAGCGCTAAAGGATTTTAATAACGAAGACGACATTTAAAAACATCAAACATGTAAACATTATTTTTTTATTTTACAAGTCAAATGCAATTTTAAGCAGAAAAAAAACAAATTCACTGATTAAAAACAAATCCGTTCCATTTTCGTTTACAACCCACTTAGGGCCAAAATGGCAATATAATGATTTGAAGATAGATAGATAGAAATTCTGCCCGGTACAACGAAATATTCATGCACCGGCCCGACTGATGGTACGTATCTTAAAAAATTTCCAAACCAAATATTTTTATATAAACAAACTCCATGTGTGATGGCGATAAAACTTAATTTTAAGTATTTTTATAATATTATAGTCTATATTTGGACTATAATATCATACAGTTGATATAGCCAATTGTTTAAGTGATAGTTTGCATATATAATCAATTTAATTTAACATTGTGACGCATACTTAGGAGATTAAATCGGCCTCTCTGAGAACTCTTTTG